GGGGGGGGGGGGGGGGGGGGAGTTTCGCTGCAAATCCCTTCCCGCTTCGCTGCACTGCCAGCTGCTGCTTATTTGCTGCCGCCGCGGGCGCCAAGAGCGACAGAGACAGCGGCAGCGAGGGCTGCAGCGAGGACTGCAGCAATGGCTGCAACAACCGCTGCAGCAAGGTCTGCAGCAAAGACCTCAACGAGGGCTGCACGCTGCTGCTTGCGCTGCAGCAAGGACTGCAGCAAGTAATGTAGGGCAGAGTGCTAAAAGCCACTAGTGTGACAGAATGGAGCCGGGTGCAGGTACGGCCGGGAGGAGCTTACTCTCGCCTACTGTATGTGGCTATTTGCCACGCGTATCAGCACGTGCTGAGTGCCTGAGGATTTACATACTTCTGCATGCACAAAAGGTCCTTCAGGGACAGCAGGGGTGAGGCACATGTCTCCACAGCTCGGGGCGGCGCGTGCCTGTCCATTCCCCATGCTCTGCACTCAGCGTCGGACCCAACACAAGATGGAGAAGGAACAGCGCCAAAAGGCGATATTTTGATGTGAAGACACTCAGTTTAGTTGTTTAAGATGCGTTGGCTGCGGAGGGACTTCGTCTGGTTGCTAGGACACTCTGTGTTCGTGAGAAAACATTGATTAGTTCATGGGGCATTCTATTTAGAGAAGCTGGGACACTTCGACTTGGAGGCACTTTTTGTATGGCTCATAGGACACTTCATTCAGTTGCTATGATTCTAACTCTCATGCGACGTTTGGACGTAGGGCTGCGGTGGTTTTCTGTTCTGTGGGCTGAGCCACTCTTGGTAGTTGTTTAGACTATAGACGGAGACAGGGCACATTTTAACTCGTTCCTTCGGTGCCTGCGTGGAGGTATTCGTAGAACATTTTAAACAGCTTCCGTCAGTTGCGTGGAGACTATAGTCGGGCAGCGAAGAAACATTTTGTGTGTCACTCTTAGCAATTCTTTGGAAATAATATTCATTATGTCAGATGGACGCCGTTTATTACGTGATAGGACGCCTGTTCAAGTGTCTCCCCAACTGACATCGTGTGGAGACTGGAAAACGAGGCTCTGAGGCAGGGGCGTTGCTCTGGGACGTTCAACAGCCTTGTGTTACATGAGCCGCGCGTGAGATATTTGCTTTACTTTTGAATTATTGACATTTATTTGAACACAGGCAAAAGACAGTCTGCGTTCTTGGTGCTTGTCTTCTCTGTCTTAAACGAGGCGTGACCTCGCCTGCAAAGGAGTGCACATTCCCCACCACCTTGAAACCGACGCGGTGAATCGGGTTATGAGTTCAGTTGCGAGTTCAGAGAATTGAAGAAGCGCATTATATCGCCACCGTGTTTGAAACCGGATACATCTCCGAGAGAGTGCGGAGGAGGGACTGTCTCCTCGACCGCTCTGGGCCCCGCTGCCTGGTTTCGTTGTCTTGCTGGACAAACGCCAGAGCATCTACCTTCTTCTGCATAAAAGAAGGCGTTGGAATACACGCCAAGCAGAATTTCATCTAAACAGGAGCTTATTCAACTTCATTTTACTCCTGTATCTGAATCGCGGTGAGGCTGCAACAAAAGAGACATGGCTGCCGACGTGGGCAGCGGCTGGCCCATGAGAAGGGCCCTGGAGGAGGGCCCACTAGAAGAAGGGACGGTAAGGACTGTTGCATCGAAAGCAAGAAGGAAAAGTGCCTAATTGAATTGCCACTACCCAGCAAGGCGCGCCCCACAGGCGACGCGTAGTAGAGACGAAGTGTAACAGCTAATGAACCAAAAGGGCAGAATAACAAGAGGCATACAACTGTCCTTACACAGCAGCTTTTGTCCTTCAACTTTAGAAGCGTCTTCACCGCAAATTTCGCAGGTCCTCCTCTGCTCAATATCTGAAAAAGCAACCACTCATTTTGCAATGCGTACTGAAGAAGGGCCCCTGCAGCGGGCGCCTTATAAGTACCTAATGCCTACAGTTTACGGTTTTCGGGTTTACAGTTGGGGTCTGGCTTACCCAAACTCGGCAGTGTCCTTTTATGAGCCAACTATACCACAGACACTGCATTGTTGCCTTCTTTCTTGAGTTTGAGGCCCTTTTTTCCATTGTACCCCCAACTGCCGTAGCCGCACGACGGTTCTCTTTCCCCCTAGCAGTTCTGCATCACGTCAGAGCTTCCCAAAAGGGAGAGCGGTGCTTCTCTCCATAAAATGGTTGCTTAGACCAAGAGCGATAGAGGCACAGTCTCTAGCTGCACTGCGCAGAACAGGGAAACCACACAAAAGGCAGCCGGGGGACTTAGTTTCTCTGCAGCTAGCCAGGTCCCCAGTAAGTCCTTGACGGCCTTTAAAAGTTCTCGCCTCGCCGTTGGGCCTCCTCCGCCGCTGGCTGAATCTCCCCCCCAACTGGGGCAGACCTTGTGTGGAATATTGTCTGTTTCATTGGTGCCGTTTTTCTCTCGAGTGGGTTGTTGCAGTTTCCGTCTTCTGAGGAGAGTGTCGCGTGGCTCAAAGAAGGCCTCAGCGGGCTGCAGCAGACGCCTCCGGACGGAAGGCTGGGGAACGTGTCTCTGTCGCTGGCGGGGAGGGGCCTTGGGCGCCTGGTGCTGCTGTGCGACTTCACCAAACTGCTGGTTCTCGACGTCTCTCACAACAAACTCAGAAGCCTTTACCCCATTCGCCTGGCTGCCAACCTGGTCCGTCTCCATGCTCACAAGAACCAAATTCAATCCGCCAACGAACTCTCAGCAAACCCCAAGCTGGAGCACGTCGATCTCAGCAACAACCACATTGCCGCTCTAGGTGCCACAAAGAAGCCCTAATCCATAAAAAGCCCTGAACCCTACACCCTAGCCTCCTAGTTGCCTGTTGCCTAAAAAGCATTGCATGCTTTAAGAGTTACTTTGGTGGTTGAAGCAGAAGAACTGAGGCCACTGCAGCTGAGATGCACCGCGTTAAGAGGTTACGCTGCAGCGGGGCATGGGCATATTCATATTGTGTATTGATTCGGGGGATAGACACTTCCCCTTTGGCTTGTGATTTGAATTGATGAGGTCAGGAGACTGGCAGTTCAACGTCCGTCTGCGTGTGCTGTGTCTCGCCGGCAACCGTATAGCCTCCTTAAGAGGAGGCAGCTTGGAGAAGAACAGCTTGTTGAGGGAGTTGGACATAAGTAACAATGCAGTTGACTCACTCGAGCCTCTCCCCCACCTCAAGTGTCTAGACACTCTAAACGTCAGCAACAATCAATTAAGAAGCCTCGAAGGCATTCAACGAGCCCCCCATTTGGTGGTCCTTCATGCTGAGGTTCGTCCGGCCCTCCCTGCTTCGTTGTTGCCTCCTGAAGGGAGCCGATGGCTGGCTCTGTATGCAATACAGTACAAATATGGAAAAGATCGTTTTATGTGTCTTGTTTTTAAACAGGGCAACAAGTTGCAATCGCTCGAGCCCCTGGGCCTCGGCAGGAATGGCCTGTTGCGCGAGCTGTACATACAGCAGAACAGTAGTCTGGAGCAACCGCTGCAGCTGTCAGCGCTGAAGTCAACCGAGGCCCTCCAGAGCCTGCAAGTGTCTCCAGGGCCGATTGTCTTCTTCCCTCACTGGCGGCTGCACTGCGTCCACATGCTACCGCAGCTGCTGCAGATCGACGGGGTCCCTATTACCGCAGAAGAGCAGGTGAGACTTTGCTGTCTGCCGAGCTTTCGTGCGTCCCCTACACCCCTCACACAGTGCACAGTGATTGCTGCTGTTGTTGCATTTGCTGCTACTGCTGTTCGTTTGCTGCGCCTTGCAGTTCACTGCCGCTGAGGCCTTCGGGGACCTGCTCTACGCACATCAAAGAGTGTGGGAGGCTCTGATACCAGACGAGCCTTTTGTTGATCGCCGGCTCCTGAAGCTGCATGACTCAACTGCAACAGATGCCACAAACACTGCGGGATCTCCACAGACGTGACTTGCAATAGCACCACTCCCACTCCCGTTGCTACTGTTGCTGCCAGTGCTGCTACTGCTGCTGCTGCTGCTGCTGCTTTCGCTGTTGCCGTTGTAAGGAGTGGGAAGCAGTTACAGCAGCAGCTGCATGCAAGCAGCACATATCCCCAGGGAGGCTCCAGCCACTGCGTGATAGCAGTTTCAACTGCGCCTTAAGCTTTCTGCTCCATAGCCAAGTGCATACATTTAAAGGAAACAGATCTTCTCTAAGTACTTAGTGCTAGACTAGGAGCCTCTAGGGTTTAGGATGCGTACAGCGGATATGCCACTGAGGTGGCAGCCACCGACTACAACGAGCTGAACTGAAGTCACCACAAGGTCAACATCCTTGTGAGAAAAAGAGTGGAAGGTGCAAACGAGTAACTGCATTAAAAAGTCAGCTAAAACGTCTTTATTAAACCAAAGTGTTCCGCACGCTAGTGCAGAGAACTCATCAGCTCCAATTGTGATAACAGGCCAGCCATGGCCAACCTCTCCCGTCGTTTCCAACAATCGGCTCTAGATATAAATAATATGCCTTCGAAACACAACTCCTTTCAAGAAGAAGTACCCAGCTGGTGCTCCTCTGCAACGGCCTGCTGATCCCCATGGGATGCTTCCAGGATTGGCGCTGCTGCTGCGAGCGTTGCTGCAGCAGCCGCTGCTGCTGGCGTTGCAGAAGGTGGTTCTGCAGTTAACGTTCTACTTGGGCAAACCCTCCTGTGAGGTCTCAGCAACTGCATCCAGGTCCAATGGGACCGCTGCCACGGTTGGCGCTGCTGTTACTGTTGTTACTGCAGCAGCAGGTGCTGCAGCTGTCGCTGCCGTTGCTGTTGCTGTTGCTGGTGACGGTGATGCTGGCGCCGCAGCCGCTGTTGAGGCTGCTGCTGCCGCTGCTGCTGCCTCAGGAGACAGAGCAGCAAGTGCGTAACAGTACGCCGTGTAGCATGCCATGTACGTTGCTGCATCATCTGCTGCACTGGCTGCTGCCATTTGCTGCACCAGCATATGCAAGTGCGCTGCAGTTTCAGGAGACAGCTGGCTCTGCGGTATAGCAAAATAGTTCATAGTAGCAGGGTCAGCGGTAACTGCAGCCATCCCACTTGCTGCTGCTGTAGTCATTTCGAGCTCCGCCGCTGTTGCTGGTACTGCGGCAGCCCCAATGTCGTACGGCGCAGCTGCAACCGCTGGCGTTAGTGCTGCAGCCGCTACTGCTCCTGCTGCAGCGGCTGCGTCGTCTGTGGAGGTCTTGTTGGCGCCGCTGCCGGCTTCCGTTGCAGCAGGAGCTGCTGCTGCTGCTGCTGCTTCAACTCGCTTTAAATAATCTAAAGACTGATTCTCCTGCGTCTCTCCCGATAGCCGCTTGCACTCCTCCAGTAGCTTTTGCTTTCGCTGCTGCAGGTGGTGGTTCAACTGCAACCGCGCCATGAAACTTCGAGCCTGCGCAAACAGCAGCATCAGATGGGGAAGAAGCAGCACCAGCGGGAGCCTGTCGGCAGGACATGTGCACGGTGCCGCAGAAGCAGCTGGGGCCACCACTGACGGTGCAAATATTGGGGGCAGGCGTCTGTCTAGCAGCAAGTGCCTGTCCCCTTCTTAAGTGCCTTCAGGTGACTTTAGTGTTGGGGCGCATCGGCGTGAGTTAGCTGCAGCTAACCAGTTCATGCGTTGGTCCTCGCAGGGGCTGGGGCTTGATGAACCCTTCCTTTTGAATCTCTGTCTCTATACACTTCAACACGTATCTGCAGCAAGCAAATACAAACAAAGCACCCTCCAAACTGCTGCTGCTGCCGCTGTTCAGGCTGCCATTGGTACTGTTGCTAGTGGGGATACTTGAGCTGTTGCCGTTGCTGCTGCTGTTGCTGGTGCTGCTGCAGCTGCTCCTGGCTAGAGCGGTCACCTGAAGTACCGGAGGTCCATCGAAGAAGTCCGGAGAAAAGGAAAAGGCGAGGCGTCGTCTTCGTACTGCAGCGTCCCACACCCCAATTGAAGCCTTAAAAGCAATGAGGGCCCAAGCATGCATACAGGCATACGAGACCCGTACGCGCACGCATACAGGCAGAGCTCCCCTTGCATGCAAGCGTGCAGACACACAAACTGCCCTCGCATGCACATATGCGTACACGCATGCATATATGCATGCAGAGAACTGCCATTTGCATGCATGCATGCAGACAACTGGGCCCCAGACTTGCCGTCTTAGCGTGCTGAACAAGCGACAGATCTCCTGCACACAGCAGTTGGTGTCCCAGCTGCTGTATTGAGACAGCAGAGGCCTATGCAGGCACACGAACAGAAAAGGTGCCAAAACCCTAAACCCTAATCCCTACACCTAAACCTGAAGCCCCGAAGCACAAACCCTAAACCCTAGCCAGTGCTCTTTTCGTCTCCTTCAACAAGTAGGCGCAGCAGAACAGATGCATTATTTAGGGTGTTCAGGGTTTAGGGCTTTGCAGATTAGGGAAAAGGAGTCTCCTCTTTCGCAAAGAGCACCAGCAACAATATTAGCGCCAGCGGCAACATCAGCAGCAAGAGCAGCAGGAGCCTCAAGGGCAGCAACAGCAGGAGAGTGTCCCTGGCAGACCTTGGAAAGCCCTAATTTGTTGTTAGGTGGGGCCCATGGGGGCTTCGTGGGGAGGGCCTCCATCATGGCGTCGATATCTTCTTCTTCCAGGTCCTCCCTGTTGCGTTCTATGAACAAACTTTGGGGCTTTTTCTTCTTTAACGAGAAACGGGTAACGCGTGCAGAACGCCACATTGCTGTCAGATCTTTTGAGTTGCTTCTGTTGTCTCCCTCGTCTTCCGAGTCCTCCTCCGCTTCCTCTTCCTCTTCGCCGTTCGCATCGTCCCCTCCCCCCGCTGCTACTGCCGCTGCTGGCGCTGGGGATGCTGCTGCTGCCGATGCTACAGAGGGTAAAGGCGGGGCAGGGGGAGGCTTTCTCTTTAATGGCGCTGCTTTTGAGGGGCCTGCGTTCAGGGCGTCTTCCTGTTTAGTTTTCGTCTGGCCCCGTTGTTGCTCGCTTTCATGTTGTTGCTGCTGTTGTTGTTGCTGCCGTTGCTGTTGCTGCTGCTGCAGTTTCTGCTCCTCTTCCTCCTTCGGCTGCTGAGAAGACACAGGGTCTTCCTCGTCATCATCACTGCCGTATGACAGCAGTAGCCCCAGCCCACCATCAGGGTCATGCTTGGGCTGTTGCTGTTGCTGCTTTTGTTGCTGTTGCTGCTGCGGAGACTGCTGCTGCTGCTGCGCCTTGGCTCCCTCCTCTTCATTTTGGCCCTTTGCAGTCTGTGCTGGCTGTTGCTGCTGCTGCTCTTGCTGCTGCTGCTTGTGCAGGTCTGCAGTGCACCCTAGAGAGTAGACGAACTCAAGCATTGCTTTGATCCGAGGGGGCAGCAGTGCTGCTCCGCGTGTAACCAAAGAGTGCCCCTGTCTTTTTAGCCAAGTGTAAAATGGATGAAGGCGATGGCTCGACGATAAAAAAGGAAAACGCCGCTCCTCATCCAGCAACAAACGAAACTCCATCCGCTCGCCCTCCTGCACACCATCCATCAGCAGCAGAAGCAACAGCAGCAGCAGAAGCATCAGCAGCAGAAGCAACAGCAGCAGCAGACGCATCAGCAGAAGGCACAAGCAAAACTACAAACACACACCCAACCTTCGTTGCGTGCCCACTGCCCCTCCTCGAAGTGCCGATGTAAAAGGCACTCCATGGAGGCCCAACAACACAGACCCTAAAACTGGGCAACATAGACACTAAGCATCAGACCACCTATACCCTAAACAATGAGCCGCCTAAACCCTAACATTGGCGCCCCTAAACCCGAAATGCTGAATCCCCCTAAACCCTAAACACTGGCTCCCCTTAACCCTAAACGGTGGATGCCCTAAAACCCCAATCAATGAATCCCCTTAACCCCGAACGCTGATCACCCTAAACCCTAAACACTGGGTCCAATAAACCCTAAACAGTGCGGCCTGTAAACCCTAGACCCTGAGTCCCCTAAACTCTAAGGTTGTGTTTATAATTGTAGCGCACCTCTCGAACGAAGTGTGCCGTCCGCTCAACCACTAAGTACTCCCTTATATTTTCAGGGAAGGAAATGTCAGTCGGCAGGTCTGGGAACGGAGGAACGAAGCACTCGCTGCTGTGTTCCTGCTGCTGCTGCTGCTGCTGTTTGCCCGGCTGTTGGGGACTCTGCTGAGAAGAGTGGTCAGCCTGGGCGTTTAGGCCTGTAGCAGCAGAGCTGCTGCTTTCCGGCTGTTGCTCTGCTTCTGCCTCCTCCTTTGCTGGTGCGGCTGTTGGTGCAGCTGCAGTGCCGTGTTCGCGCTGTTCCGATGCGGGGGAAGCCGCAGAGTCACCTGCACCAGCAGCAGAATCAACCCGCAGCACAATCGCAGCCGCAACTCGCACATGCAGTCCCAGCCCCTGCAGCAACCAGATCCAACAGTAGGCCCCCCCGTCCCAACAAAACCAGGAGGGGCAGCAGTGACCTCACGAGGAGCTGCAGCCTGAAGCAGCTAAAACAGAAGTTGCAGCAGCAGCAGCAGCATCATTGTCAGCAATAAGCAGCAGTTCAACCCACCGGTTGTTGCTGTAGCAGCGTCAAGAGAGTCTGGAGGAGGGACAGCGCTGTAGTCGGGGCTGCACACAGAGCGTTAACTCCACAGCAGAAGCTGTTAACTGTTGTGCATGTTTATTTTTAGTTCAAGCAAACACTACAATAAACATAAGTTGCTCTATTGAATGACAAACAAGACAAGGGAATGCCTCACCCCTCGGGAACTGGGGCCCCGTCGCTGGGCGGCGCCGGAGAAACTGCTGCTGCAGTCATTGTACGTTGCTTCTTCCTCTGCTGCTGTTGCTGCTGCTGCTCTAGCGTAGGCGTCCACTGCTGCTGCCCTTGCTGCTGCTGCTCCGACGAGGGCAGCTCGTCTGAGAAGGCCGAGCGCCGCGGAAGGTCCTGGAAGACATGTATTACCAAGTAAACCCTAAACCCTAAAACCTAAAGCCCAGACCAACAGACACTCCGTCTCCTCTACATTACATTGCGCCAAGGGCTTATGGTTCTGGGTTTACCTCGTAGCGCATGGATTCTATCTCGGGACTCTCCTGCAGCTCCATCAACCTCCGCTCTTCGCTGCAGTTCTGACGCGCGAAAGACGCGACGTCCCCCAGCAGCAGCCGCACATCGTAGCTGAAGCAGCAGCAGCAACAGCGGCAGCAGCGAAAAGGAATATAAGTGCCTAGAACGCCCACTGGTACTGCAATGGCTGCCTAATAGACTGGCGAGAGGCGAGATTGACGAAGACAGAGGAGAAAATGTATGAAGACAATACATGAAAGGCACAACCTAGAGAGACAAATGAGACGGACAGAACACAAGACAGGCAGAGTCAAAGACTGAGGAGGGTTTAGGGTTGAGGCGAACGAGGCGATAGAGAGACCGCTCGAGAGACAGAGGATGAAGAGAGAACGGCAGACAACGACAGAGAAGGCAAGGAGCAGAGATAGGGACAGAGTAACGAAGGGCAGCTTAGGGATACACACACTAACGAATGTCGCAGCAATTAGGACAAAAGAAGAGACAGACCCTCAACGGAAATACAGAAATCAGACGCAGAAAAAGGCAGAGAGAAGGCCCCTACCGATCTACAAGCACTTCTTCGCCCTCCACCTCTATCTTTATTAGCCGGTTGTCCTCTTCAGAAGCCGAGTCCCGGCCGCTGCCAAAGCGGCACGCAGTTCCTATGACGCAGAGACCGCCGCTGCTGCTGCTGCTGCTGCTCCCACTGGTGCTGGAGGAGCTGCCGATGCGCCCTCGTGCCCCCCAAGCAGCGGAGGCCATTCTGGCGAAACCCTTCCAATGCTTCGTCTCAAACCCTAAACGCTAAACCCCCGGTCAATTTGCAGTGCAGTGCCGAATCATAAACCCTCACCCCCCTATTCGCACCGCATCCTGCAACACGAGGAGGGAAGCCGGCGGGCCTCACCCAAAATAGAGGTAAGAGAGATCCCGTTAGCAGTTTAGCCGAGCAGAAGAAAATTAACTGATTGAGCGGTGCCTCACAGAGGCGAAGATGCAGCCGCTGCTATGCTGGGGTGTATGTACACGCTCGGGTGTGTACATATGTCCCCAGAGGGAACATCGATTCCAAAAAGGACTTCACCGCAGCCAATTGACTCCATTTATTGTTTAATAGAAATGAATAGTTCTGCATTTGGAGCAAAGAAGAGGCAAACTCTCTTGAGGGGCCCCTGGGGGCCCCGTCAGCCCAGAGCTGCAAGCACTGGCGAACAGCCGGAGACCTTGTGCGGCTGCATGCAGCTGCATGCAGCTACGCCGCAACGGCATTTTCTTGATCTTCTGCTGCAGCTGATACAGCAGTACCCATTGCTGCTGCAGCAGGAGGGTCTCTTCTGTCCGCAGCAGAACATTTTCTTTCAAACCTGCAGCAGGACAGGCAGCAGCAGCAGCAGCGGCCGCTTGTCCTTGAGTGTCTCTGTACGGAGGGAACCTCTACTACAGCAACGGCTGCTGCAGCAGATTGTTGCAACGCCAGATGCTGGAGGACGCGCTGTTGCTGCTGCTGTTGTTGCGGCAGCAGCACTTGCGTTTACCGTTCCCTCTGGAGCAGCTATAGCCGTTTTTGTGTCGCATTTCTGCTTGCTATCTGCATGCGTCTTGCCTAGTCGATCCTGCAGTTATTTGTTGCTTTGTTTGAAATGTTTTTTGTCATTGAGCGCTGGGAATCGGTCGCCCTGCGGCCCTCCCAGCTGGGCCCCGAGTATCTCGCCAGCGTGGAGGCACTGCTGCGACAGCAAGTGGAGGGGAAGTGTCTGCAGAGTGTGGGGTGCGTTATGAGTCGAAGTAGTTGGAGTGTAGGGACACCTCCGGCGGGCTTACTGCTTTCGCTGCTTGCACGGGTGCCCATCATAGGCGTTCTGGGCTGCGGTGTATGTACACCTCAACTTGCGAAAGTTTTTTTCGCTTGTTTTTGCCTGGCATCTCCTGTTTTCCTTTGCCTCTGCTTATCGTGTATTTTCCAGCTTTCTGCGTCTGCAGTTTTTCGTCATGGCTTTAGGGCGTCTGTCTGTTTACTTGTGTCCCGTCCGAGGGGTGGTGTGGTCTGAGGTGTATCTGCAGGTATGTTGTTTGCGTCATTCGCGTACTTCAACATCTTCCAGGGAGAATTCAGGACTCCACAGGGCTTGTTGTTGTGGCTGCAAAGTACCAGGCCATCGTTTTCAAACCATTTAAGGAAGAGGTACGCAGACGGAATGGACTAAGACTGTCGCAGTGTTGCCCCTCTAAAAATAGCAATACTAATACTAGTAATGCTAATACTAATACTAATAATAATAATAGTGGCAAGAACAGGAATAATAAGAATAATAAGCAGAACGAGTAACAAGAGCAAAATGCAACTTACATGTCCATGCTGCGTCCTGTATTACTGTTGTATTTACGCCTTGTATAACTTTATTTGCAAAAAGGTGATACAAAACGACGTACAAAGAATCTGCGTGTTTGAAAGTGCATTGGATCGACTCATTGTTTGTGTACTACTACTGGCTTGCATATGTATTGTATTTGTTTCTTATTCTTCTCTGCTTATGCCCACGCCATTCTTTCTGATTCCCATAGAAAAGGGGAAAGCTGCTGCATGAGGCGAAAGCGCTTGGGGTGTATAGGGAGGTGCAATGACAGCTGGCACACGAAGACACGAAATCACACATATATATTCAAATAGGAATACGCAAAACAGGCATTCAGATACATCACATCTTAAGCAATATTTCTGTTCAGCTGCGTTTTATTCTGGAGGTGAAGGCCAAGGGCTTTGCGCGTTGTTTGGGGTGTCTGTACACCCGGGACAGTCGTTAGTGGCTGAGGATTAACGGGGAATTGATTGAAATAGAGAGTGCGGATTTTTGAATGCACAGGTTTTAGATGCAGTGATAACTGATGTAAACAAACTCGGCCTCTTTGCACAGTGCGGCCCCTTGAAGGTCTTCGTCTCGCGGGCTTCTCTACCCCCCACATACACATTTCAGGTGCGTACAGTAATAAGCCAAACCCTACACCCTGAGCCCTAGGCTGTTGCCGTGAACCCTAGACCCTAATGCAAACCCTAATCCCTAAGTTGTTGCAGCCAGCTCAGAGAACTTGGCGAAGAGCCTTAACTCCCTAGTTGCGCCGCTGCTGCTGTTGCTGTTGCTGTTTGCTGTGTGCACCAGGAAGAAGACGCAATGCCGAGCTTCTCAGATGGATCTCTGGCCCTGCGTTCTGGAGGCGAAATTCGCCTCAAGCTGCTGGGCGTTCGGTTTGAGGCGAGCCAAATATTTGCAGTCGCAACGACCAATGCAGACTACTTGGGGCCCATCGAACCCAGAGAGACTTCAGCAGCATAAACCAGACCTAAACGCAACGGCACCGGCACTGGATGCGGCGGATGCTGCTGCGGTAGTAGCTGCTGCTGTTGCTGCAGCGGATGCTGCTGCTGCAGTAGCTGCTGCGCTTGCTGCTGCTACCGCTTTATCTTTATCTGGTGGTGTTGCAGCTGTTGGAGGTGTTGTTTCTGCTGCTTTGGTTTTGCTCCTGAGGCTCTTCTGCGCCTACAGACACTTGATAGGGGGGGGAAGGAGGGGCCCCAGTTCCTTTAGATAGCAGGGGCCCCCACCTCTCCCCGTTGTTGTTGGCGGCTCGCTGTGTGCCGGCGACGCCGTGGCGCTGCTCGCGCCCTTAATAGCAAAGCAGGGAAGGGAGGAGATGCCGATTTACTGTTTTGAATTGATGCAGAGTCAATACGCCAGACTAACTGAGTCAGTCAGCCGGAGCTGGCTCACTAGTTGCATGCACCCTTTGTGCAGGGTTTAGGGTTTGGGGTTTGCGGCTTAGGGTTTGGAATTCAGCTTCTTTAGGGTTTAGGGGTTAGGGGTGGGGTTTAGTACGCAGGGGCAAGCCCACCAGATGCATGCACCATGCACCATGGCTCAAGGGTTTAGGTTTTAGTCGTGAACTCCGCCGGAATTCTCTCGGTTCTAAACAAAACCGCCAAAAGTTCAGAGGGGCCATCGAGGCCCCCATACAAAAAAAGACGACGGCGGGGCCGGGAGACTGCGCATTACACACGCAGCAACGTGCAGTGTACAGACAACAGCGTGGAATGTATATTCAACGACGTGCAGAGTACAGACACCTGCGGCGCTTTCGTTCGCTGTCACTGCGGCCGCCGGTGCAGGAGTTGCAGCAGCGCCACGAAGTAGCTCTGGAGACCTGGGTGTTCGAGGCCATCGACAAGCCTAAGAAGCAACATAGATCAACACACAGGCCCTATAACTGCTGCCTGTTTCTGCTGCTGCTGTTGCTGCTGATGCTGTTGCTACTTTTGCTGCTGCGGCGGCTGTTGTTGCTGCTGGCAGCAGCTCCCTTACTTTCGCTGCAGTCCACCGACAACCCACCTTAAAATCTTCTCGCACGCGCCGTTTTCGTAGTCTTTGAAGCGTTCCTGGACTTTGAGGTGTACGTACAGCTCCCGAACGGTGCCCTCTCCCTGGACTCTGCCGTAGGCCTCGAGCAACTCCGCTGCTTCAGCGGGGGTTGCAGCAGCGAGAGCCTGCAGCAGCGTAGAACCACGGTTTCTGTACCTACTTCTGCTGCAGAAATCTGGGGCTTTTCAAGGTGCACGTACATTCCGCGTGCCAGCGCGGTGCGTGATCGCATGCAAAGCCCCCCGGTAGTAGCATCCGCAGCAGCATCCGCAGCACCTTTGCTGTTGTGTTAGTGCAGGAGAAGGCGGAAAGTGTCTGCCGGGCCTCCGGGTCACTTTAGGGGAGGGGCGTTTGGTGCCGCTTACCTCAACGAAGAGCCAGCTGCACTTCCCTTCGCGGATGTCAGTGCCCAGCTTCCCCAAGGCGTCTGGACAGCCGAAGCAGTCTAAGAAATCGTCCTGTGCCTGCGCCACACCACCAAATACTATCATACACACAAAGATAACGTCAGGAAACTCAGAGGCACACCCGCTGCTGCGCCGCTGTGCTGCTTCGCTGTGCTGTGCTGCTTTGCTGCTGTGCTGCTGTCGTGCTGTTGTGCTGCTGCTGTCGTGTTGCTGTACTGCAGCTGTTGCGCTGCTGCTGCTGTGCTGCTGTGTGGATGCTGTAGCGCGGGTTCTTAGTATCTACGGAACAGCAGAGAAGAGCTATGCCAACTGGCAGTTCTTCTCTGAGTGGCCCCATCAGAGACAGTGAAAGAAAACAAAGGAGGCGGGAGGCAAAGAAGAACAGAGAAACAAGCAAAACGCACAAGGAGGCAACAATCCAACAACGAATACAACCAAACTCAAGCAACAAACAAACAAGACGGGAAGGCCGCAAGGCAGGCATACACAGACAGTAACCAAACAAACAAACATACAGAACACACACAAACCAGAATGGAGAAAAGAGACACCTGAAAGTAATCTCCTGTGCAGAGACATATCTCCTCCGCCTTCGTCAATAGGGACCGGTCGCAAACACCACTGTACAGAAGCCCTAAAGAGACAAAAAGGCAAATGCATGCAGTGGTATATGCAGTGCTGCAGGCCATGAAGCTCTGTGTCGTGGGCTGAACTGCAGTTGCGAGGGAGATACTGTGGTGTATGTACACCTGACTGCATGCGTGGGGAGGTCGGTCTAGGCAGCCGCTGCCCTACCCAAGGCTGTGGGGAGCCAGAAGGAATAATAGCTGGTCTTTAATCTTGCTGCTGCTTGCTGCCTGCTGCGTGCAGCTGCAGTTAGCTGCTTCAGCGTGGCTGTTGCTGCTGCACTCCCTTCCCGCAGTACTCGCAGCAGCACCTGCTGCTGCTGCTGCTGTTGCTGCTGCTGGTTGTAGGGCAGCAGCAGCGTGTGCACTCCCCCGTTGCTGTCGAGGTGCTGCCCCAAGACAGTTTTAAATGCAACATCTTGCAGCAAGTCGCTGCATGCACTGGAGGCAGGGTGCTTTCCAAGGAACTCCCGTAGCACTCTGTACACCCCAGCAACAATAACACAAACCGTACCTCCCCATGCATACATACACCCCACGCAGTCTTGGGAAGTTCAGCCTATTCATGTTCCCACCAAGGGCATCAGCAGCAACTGCAGCAGCAGCTGCAGCTGAAAGTCCGCAGTAAAACCAACTTGAACACGCACAGCTACAGCTGCAGCAACGCTCAAAAAGACAAGCAGAAGCAACAAAAGAACCACCGCCATCCCAGCCCCAAGCAGCACCATCAGTATCAGCATCAACTGCATCAGCAGGAGGATCAGCAGCAACAGCAGCAGCAGGGTCTATGTTCAGTCTGACTGGTGGATAGCGTATATGAGGAAGACCGCGTCGTTGATAGCGTTAGCTGCCCCCACTTCTTGTCTTCTGTACCAGCACACTTTTCCTCTGCGAGTGTATGCGCCGTCCATTTGGTCATCTGCAACCAAAAAGGCGGCTTGCAGTAGCTCCACTCCCCAACCCAATACACAAGCCCCAGAAGCGAAAGCATCCTCAACTGCTGCTGCTCCAGCAGCACCAGAACCACTACCACACGCCAAAGGCGCTGCTGCCGCTGCTGCTCGGCCTGCTGCTGTGGCTGCTGCGGCTGCTACTGCAGTAGCAGGAGAAGAAATAACTGCAGCAAAAGCTGGAGCTGCTGTTGCACGAGCAGCAGCGGCTGCTGCAGCAGGAGCAGCATCGGCTACTCCAGTAGGGGCAGCAGCGGCTGCTCCTGCAGCTGAATCGGAAGGCTGAAGGAATTGAACCTCTCGGTTGGCAGCAAGGGAGGCATACACAGTCAGCAGCCCTCGCAGCAGCTTCCCCCCTGCATGCAGCAGCAAAGAGCACCAAGCCCAGGACTCTGAATGCACAGATCGGTGCAGCAACAGCACCAGCAGCAAACTAACCCACAGCGCCGCCAGCAAGCAGCAGAAGCTGCTGCTTCTTTTCACCTAAGCAACCCAACGCGGCCACTTTTTTTCCGTTTAAAGCCACCTGTGCAGTTGTAGTCAATGACGCGTGAATAATAACTCCTCAGGGCATTCGCCTCCTCCTGCGGGGCGCAGGCGGCAATGCGTGCAAGGAGAGCCTCTCTTAATGGGCCTAGCATCTGCAATCACCAACGCATAACATACATAACAACCTTCCAACAACTACTACCGACTCAATGGAGCAGCAGCAACAGCAGCAGGCACAGTGTTAGCAGCGATACCTGCAAGAAGCGCTGCTGGTCTCGTTTGATGTCCACCTGCACCAGATCAACACCCGACTCCAAGCAAGCGGCATCTGCAGCCTCAGGAGCAGCAGGCGGCAAAGGACGTCCTGCATAGGTGCCCCCACCAGCACCGGCAGAAGCCTTATTAGTCGCCGCTGCTCCGATGGATGCTCGTCCTACCGATACTGCCGCTGCTGCAGCAGCGGCTACATCTGCTGCTACATTAGTCTGGCTGCATAGGCCACGGCAAAAGTTTTTGTGAAGAGGGCACCAAGGTTTGAAAACGCCGCGACTTGCAGCAGCGTGGGGCCTCACAAGGGCCCTCCGTAGAGGCGCCGAAAGAGAGATAAGCAGGGTCGAGGCCTGCGGCGATTTGGAAGCAGCTGCAGCTGAAGCATCACCAGCAGCAGCACCTGCTCGTACAGCAACTCGGAGCCCCGAGAATGAAATAGCTGGGTTCAGGGGTCCACTAGGAGGAGAAACAGACAACGGAAGATCCCCGACGACCCAACGGCGGAAGAGGCGCCGTCTAAGCATGATGAGCGCCCTAGAAGATATTTCTGGTATGCATGAGACAGGATTTGCGCTGTGCATGGGGCAATGTTTCTGTGCACTACACTAGGCTTGCGGCGTGTATGGTGCTGCATTCAATGGCGGATAGAGGAAGTGGAGACAACAAAGGTGCGTGCAGGAATTACAAAAGAGTCGCAAAGCATCGCTGAAGCAAGAACAACTGAATAGGTGGTAATTTCGGAGGAAGAATCTGCATTGAACTGTGCGTACGCCGCAGAGAAGGCGCAGCCGACATGTGGCGGCTCTTGTGGATAAGCGGTGTATTTATATAGGCATAAATAAATCCCTTGAAAAATTCAAATTTGAAAATTTGGAGGAAATTCCTTCGGCTTTTTTCCAACAATTCTCTGGAGGATGATTGCAAAACGCTCGCCCCCCCCTCCAGCCCCGCATGTCTGTCGCCTTCCCTGCTCTCAATTCTTTCTTCTTGCATCTGTAATTAACAATATCAAATACATTTCGTATTATTTAAAACCCTAAATTCCTTATTTTGAATTTAAGGGGGTTCAGAGGCGCTTAGGCGCAGCCGACGTGCACAGTCACAGCCACAACCCACCGCAGACGCTCCAGAGCCGTCGGCGTCTTCGTGTGCAGGTGTTCGTCAGCCTACCGACGAAGCAAGTGCAACACAGTTTTTTCCGTTAAACTTTTATTTTTAGGAAATAATGAGCCGATAGAGGGCCAGGATCCCCCTGCTGTGCACTGCAACACAACCCACTCCAGGTGACCTCACCAGCAAAAGCTAACAGTGCATATCTGCTTCCACTGAAGACGGTTCTGCATGTTCTAAAGCAGCAGAGAGACAGCCGCCACCACCAGCAGCAGCACAACAAAGGCCGCACTCGTCTTCCTGTTCGTGACAATTGGTGCTCAGAGGCTGAGGCTCGTCTGATCCAGGCTCTAAGGGCGCACTCTTAGTCGCGGCGCTGTTTGTCGTCCGCGTCTAGAATCGCAAAAAAAACTAAAGAAAGCAGTGGGATGAGTAAACTGGGAAGAGAAGAAAAGACAGACTCGGGAGCGCCGCATTAGCAAGGTGGCTTCTGATCACTATCGCCAAAGGTTGTGCTCCACAGGGTTCAAAAAGACGATATTTCTCGTGCGGCACTTTTACTATCTATTTCCATTTCGAATCATCTAGGTGCTTTTCCAAGTTTAGCTGTTTACGCAGTGCAGCGGTCTGCGCGAAAGCTGCACGTGGCACTTGCTCTTACGCTGCAGCTGCTGTTGCAGCAACACTCTTTCGTCACGCGTTGTTCCTTGGCAGGTAAAACGCTTGCTTCTCGGGAGGAAAACCAGAATAATATTTAGGAGCTACAGAATCAAATAAAAGACTATAACTATTGGTGATAACAATTTCAGGAAGTTCCCACCTCACCGCTATTTTATCTGCTGCGCACGGTTTGCCTGCAACTGAGACTTTGCTTCGACTGTGAAGGCTTGGCTGTCGGAAGTGAAGGGGAGCTACTACTGTTGGTGCTGCGCCTTCTGCGTCTGCTGCCGCTGCTTCTGCCGCTGCTTCTGCTGCTGCTTCGGCCTGGTGCTGCTGTTGCTGCTCGCCCCTGTTCTCCAATTCGGAAGTGTGATATAACAGACCAAAGGATTGCCGGGTTCTGACCGAATGCGTTTCAAAGATTGCACTAGTCTTTTACCAACAGTATACACAAGACAAAATGGCATAACATACAAAAAAGAAAAACGGCATAATATTGTTGAAAATACACCTAAATTGAGTTGCAGGCGATGGCAAGGGCCAATAGTAGTTTGCAAGGATGACAAAAAAAAGTGGAAGGCGGGCCCCACACTCCAAATAATGACAAGCCCCGGGAACAGGACAGAACCTTATAGGCAAACGGGACAGTGGACAGTCAAGTAGAAGTGGCATCCAACAGCAGATGAAACAAATGCAAGGCATCTGTTGAAATTCGTGTCTATGACACTACTAAGACAAAGAAAGGCAAATATGCTCTCTAAAGAGAACTGACATTGGCTAAAAAGAAGGTAGTGTGCGACCGGCTGATGTATGAACTTTTTTGGCGGCTTATAGACACTTGGCTGTTGTACCAAACTCTTTCTCATTTGTTGTTGGGGTGTATGCGCAGCTGCCTCTGAGCCCCGCAACTATACACATGTAAACTGACGTCTCAGAAGGGCTCGTAGGAGCTTCCAGAAAACTGTGTGTAGTGATGATTGCTTTGTGGGTTTGAATAGGCTTCTTGTTGGGAGGTAAGAATCGTCGTGGTGTCATCTGCCCAAGTGTCTGCTTGAAAGTCGCTTTGGGGCCCCTCCCAGAGGCTGTCTTCTTCTATAGAGCCGCTTCTATCGCGGAGGTTTGAAGCGTCTGCCTCAATATCGCAGAACTCCAGAGGGCGGATGGGCTCTTCGGGCTGGAGGTTTGCGTTGGTTTCTCTTGCTTGTCTTGCCTTCAAGGAAGTCAGGCGAATGCAGGAGCTGCGCTCCTCGCTAGCACGCCACCGCACAGGAGGGCAGAAAGGATTTTCTTTGCTGCTCAAGTGACGCCCAGCCGCCTTCCCCTTCCCATCGTCAAACGGGGTGTACGAGTGAAACCCTTCCCCCGCAAAAAGAGAACCGCCGTGCGTCTTGTACAGATGTCGCAGATGGCCGACCTGCCAAAAGCATGCAAAAGACTAAAACAATTGCAAACATGTCGTATTTTCTGTTTTTGTCGTATTGCCCGCTGCATCTACTCAGTCTAGCAGAGATAACCGCTTCATGTGGCCTGAGCAACAGGGCTAGGAAAGCTACACGCTTCGTTGATGCAGACACTGTAACACTGGCATATAATATAAATATAAATACATATATATATATATATATATATATATATATAGCGCACTGCGTTGCGCAACAAGCGTACAATCAACAAGATGGTGTTGAGCAGCTGAGAGGCAGAAGGCGCTGCCGCCAAAGGGAAGGGTTCCTTTAGGACGTGAACTCCGTAGCAGACAGTAAACACGTAGACCAGAAGGGCCCCAGTGGCTATGCTGTGGCAGAAACAATAGGCAAAGACGAACGAAAGCAAGCCTACACCCAGACAAGCCTCTTAAACCCCTTACTGCCAACTTTGATGGCCCTGTACGGTTGACAAGCTGCGGGGAAGTGGGGCGGAGGAAACACCTGCTGCTGCAGCACTGCGATACTGACCACCACAACAAAAGCTTCAGTAAAGATAGACAAAAGCAGATCAACCAGAGGGGAGCCAGCAACAAACTAAAGCGCTGGGCAGAAGAAGGAGGTTCCTCAGGTAACGCCAAAGCCATTCGAAGCTCCTTAGTAGCTCTGCTCTGTTGACCTGTACAAGCAACATCGGCGCAAATTCAGTATGCAACGGCAGTGAGCAAGTATACATGCATGCTGTATGAGGTGTATTATGTATGATTTAGGTATTACTTTTACAACACACAAAACAAACAGTTGGAACTCCATCCCGATCACTCCTCACTGCCTGCCAGTGTGCTGCACCATAGTTCATAATGGTTTGGTCCCCCCAGTTTCCAGCCAAACAGTTTTGTTTGATATACAGCTTTAAATTCAACTTTGTTGGTTTTCCCTCTTTGCTCGTGTCAGTTCTCACTACCTAGGACGCAAGGGGCTGTAGTGACAGCGCACGGAAGCGCTGAGGAGAGGATGTGTTTAGTGCAGCAGCCAGCAAGGCCTCCTGTTGCCAAACCGCAATTACACAGCAGCAGAGAAGCAAACATTTGCCTACTGCAGCTAGCACGGTTCGCTCGACTGACGCTCTAGGTGTTACTCTTGTGATGCAGGCGGCCAAGCCATCTATTCTGCCCTCTAGGTATATAGAGAAGAGCTGCAGATACAGCTGCAGATATAGCTGTAGACACAGCTGCAGATACAGCACAGGAGACCTCACCTTCTCGCTCTTCACATCCATCGCCACCACACGTGCCACAGGACGCGAGACAACAAGCTGACCCGTCTTCGCTGAGAACCCCAGAGCTGCAAGAGGGATCCCGAAGGCTGGCTGAGGCTGCAAACATCCAGCACAGCACACAGCTTGTGCGCGCATCTCATGACCTGAAGTGTACTCTCAACTTTGTGATTGGAGGAAGAAGCATCATGCACAGCGCACGCGGACTCACTTTTGTGTTTGAATCCTAGACCCTAAACACTAAAACTAAGCCCAACAGCAAATTACAACGAGACGTACGCTCTACAGCAAAGGGTTTAGGGCTTGCGGTCTAGAATCCGCATGCAGATTCAGTTTCGTGTTTGACCTCAGGAGTGGCAAGCCATGTGGAAAGCACAACGCTCGTGTAAAGAACAAGCAGACGTGCAAGGCAAGGGGTGTAAAGCTACAGTTTCTGCTGTAGTATCTGTGGCGGTAAATGACTGCACCGCATCCAGTACCACCTGTTTATTGAATAATTGGCGCTGATACCATTTGCTGTTATTGCTGATTACTGCTGCCTTACCGGGGGCAACGCATTTTTTCTTTAAAAATATATGGACGTCCTGCGGAAAGGGAACACAAACAGAAGTCTTCACCGGTTTGCACTTGCCGCTATGCAACGCGTGAAAGACTCATAGGGTTGATATTATGGGTTTAGGGATTTAGTAGGGTTTAAATCCTCTCAGGAAATGGACAAAGCAATAATCAGCTGCAGTTCATTGTGGGACAGCGAGGAATAAACACATCCATCGGTGACACTGCAAAAGCAGCCGAGTTGAAGCCTTCGTTCTATGAATACTTCTTGTAATCTTCCAAGCAGCTCTGAGTCACTAGGCTCGCAGGGAGACTTCAGAATCTGTTAGTGACTCAAACTGGCTATACAACGTAAGATGGTGGGTATGCTTGTGATTTTCCTCGTTTATTTGTTAAAGTTTAACGGTTTACGGTTTTAGCGTATAAGGATTTGGTTGCTGTCAGAGCGCCAGCTCACTTTGTAGCCATGGAAAGAGAAATCAATCCCCACAATCGACTCCCCTGAGGCAGGCCAGCAGCAAATAAAGAGGAAGATTAAAACTAGCGATACTGGTGGAATTTCAGCTGCCAGAGACAGATACAGTGAAGAAGGCAGAGACTGCCACAGAGACAGCGACAGGGGCCAAGGCAAAGAGAGATACAAGCAGTAACAAGGCGAGAGGGCACAGATGGGAGGAGCGAGGGTGGAAACCCATGTTCTAGTGTGGCTATACTGACTAAGACGGGTTTTCTGTTGCAACTGGGATTAAATTGCTTCGAAACAGAAGAGAGATTAACTTCTCCATTATCTAAGCACGTCTTTTCTTAATGAGGCGTACCCTCTGACTTGCACTGAAACTGCAGAATGAACCTGCGCACGTTTTCCTCTAAGCCAGGAAGCACCTCCCTAAGGACCACGTGAGAAGACGGCTTGGAGGCAACGAGACTAGCGGACTGCTCCGTCTCTGTTTCTTCTCTTCTGCTGCTCCCGATGTAGTTGTACAACAGAGGATACATCACTTGCAAGTCGGCGGCTGACAAACAAGCACAACATGCAATCCCAGCATGCATTCCAGCATGCAGTATGGGTTTGGTGGTACATGCACTTGATGGAAACACATTTTAACACTAGCTGTGCATTTCATCTCTGGCAATCGAGCTTTTCTGTTCTTTGTCATAGTCAAGCTAGGGGAACGATTTGAACGTTAGTATATACACGAGCTTCCATTAGGCTTTCGCCTGACTCCACAATACTCACATACGGTTCATCATCTTTCGCCATTAAAAATATATCATTATATCGTACCCGACATAGTGATGTATTTTTTATACACTCTGCGCTACACTTGCATTTGCGTCTCTAAAGAATGGACCTACCCACTTGCGAATCGTATGAATGAAATGAATGAAAGCCCCTTCTTAGCGAGGGCAGTGTTGTACTTGTAATAATAGTACTACTATTATTGTTAGAATTCACTTGCACCGCTGGTTTTGAAAAAATTGTGAGCTGCACTTGCCTGCCGTTGGAATTTGCATATCTATTTTGCCGTCCTTACACCCTCGACACCACGCATACAATTCGACGAAGTCTTGCTGCAGACAAACGAGAAAACGCCTCGCAGAAGTGCCTTGAAAGAAGCAGCACTGTTGGTTTGCGCACAGCTGTGATTCTGTCGCGCTTTTAGATTGCAGCAGAATCCCCGAATCCCTGAAAACGGGGCTGAGCGCGAGGGAAGCAATGAACCCTCAACTACCGTTAGCAGCAGCTTTTTGTAAGGCAGTTTGCCCGCCCTACCGAAGAATCAAACACCAAAGTGTCGGGCTGTACAGAGGCGACTCGATCAGCAGCCAGTCCATTGGCCACCAGATCGCCTTCCTTCGCTGTCACAGCCCTCAAGTCTGAGACAGTCGGAGAAGGAGCGAGACTAGGATCCCACGGAAAGTCGGCAGCGCTGCGCGTCAAGGAAGATGCGCTTCCTTTACTGGGGGAAGGCGTCAAGGGGCCTATGGCAATGTTGAACCCAGCTGGCGCCTCTGGACACATGTAAACGCAAACTGCCGCTAAGGCATCCCATCTATGCATACGTATAATGCATGCATGAATGTATGGCACCCCACACACACCATATATATATATATATATGTGTAGAAAGAAATAAATGAATAAACAAATAGACAAATATATACATTTATATAGCTGAGGCGTGAGCAGTTTTCTACGAACCATAGAAAACCCAAGAGGAGCACAGCGGGTTGGTTGCAGGAACGTGCACGGTTAAACGTGCAACGGCAACTTGCCTTGCAGGAGCGCCCCGGGGGAGCAAATGACCTTCCACATGAGGACGACGGGTTCACATCCGCTGAAGCGAAGTTCAGCCCTTACAGATATGGGGTCGCTGCTGTTGCCCTCAACTGCAAAACAGCTCTTGTAGACAACATGCAACTCAGCTACAGGCCGGTGGGTCTCGTCCTGGTGTTGGTGGTCCGCCTGCCTCCCCTCCTCGCCGCTGACTTTGTAGGAAAGGAGGAGCCCTGCGTGGCACATCATCATGCCCGATAAGCTTCGACCCTACAGTCGAAGCCCTAAAAGTTCAAAACCCTATACACCTCAACAGCCTCAGCCACTGCTCGAGGACACGCAACCAAAGACCACACGGCCGCTCAGCTGTACATACTGCCGCAGCCCACCGTCTCCATAGGCAAGATTCACGTCGATTATCGGCATCAGCATCATGGACGCCATGGCATCGTAAGCAGTCTTGACGGGGGCCACAAGACGAATCAAAGTTACTGTTCCCTCATCCATGCGGAAGATGGGATTATCTGCGCAGAACAATGGGGCCTCTTTGACAACACACTGGCGCTTCCCTCAGCTAGAAAGGCAGCACGGGGTGGATTTTCTGTGGGCCCCAGGTGTCCACAAGTTCTAGGCGGCTGGAAAGGGGATGTGCACAGATGTCTGACCTTCTGTATACTCAGACCAAAGAGGAGTCACTTTGCCTCCCTCAACGACGAGACGTGGATTCTCTTCGCCGTCTGCGGGGTCTTCTGCGGGGCGGCCATGGATGTGGTGCAAGTAGGGCATGCCGTCCGCCTGTGCTGCTTCTTTTTGTACGAAGTTGCTGAACCTGGAAGCGACAGAAGAAGGCAGAGGAGAGACGAGGAAAGCGTCGAAATGCTGACAGTCATCTATCCGCAGGTCTTCGCTCTGTGGTCCGTAAAAAGCAAAACGAGGCGGTGAAGCAGCCTCCGCGGTGTCACCAGGAATGGAAAACCCATTATGATCTTCCATATAAGAGGGAATGCCTATAGACCCATCTGGGTTGGAGAAAACGGGCGCGTAAGGCCGCAATGGCAACAGGAAGGGAACGATCGCATCCAGTCCTCGGCCATCTCCCTGAACTAAGTTTGCATCTGCTCCTTCAGGGATACTTTGTTGACTTGCAGTCTCGACCAGAGAAGCTGAGGTTTCAGTGAACCCCCCGCTGCTTTGTTTGTGCGTCTCTGGCAACACACCGCTATTCGAAGCGAGCGAGGGTTCGGAGCCGCCGGTGGAATCGTCGAAAGCAGACGGTTCCTGTGGACGTTCCGGCGACACCTGCACCTCTTCCTCAAAGACCATAGGGACCTCTGAAGATTGTTGGCTGTTATAATCAGACTCCATCGGCTGTCCTGCTGCCACCTGCCAAGAGAACGCCCACTGGGTAAAGAGTAGGGTAGCTGCGAGCAGTGGCACAGTCCCCCAACGCCGGTGGCCCAAGCCCCCTCCCCCTGCACAGCCCCCTTGGGTTTGACACGAGCACTGGGGAGTCAGAGAGCTGTGCTCTGGTGGATTTGGTTTGCTGCACGCGTTTGGATGGCGACGAGAGGCGGCGGCTCGTTGGCAGTCATTCTTTTGCCCAGTGTCCATCGTACTCAAGGGCACCGAAAGAAGAAATTCAATCCACTTAAACAAGAAAGTGTCTACACGACTGTATCGATTTGAAGCCTGTGGAGAGATTTTCCCCGAAATGGGCCAAGTGACCCCCAGATCAACGACGGTGCGACACCTGTCACGGCCTCTGGACCCAACGGAAATAGCGTGTTGTGCCAAGCTTGCTTCCTTATTTTTCTCAAAATACAACAGTCAAAACAAATAAATAAGCCTAAAGTAACACGTTGCCACTATGCGGGAACACAGGGCTGAAATCGCATCTTCCGGAACCGTACCTGGTCGGGTGGTCAGCCCACCGGGCAATACCGGGGGGGATGCGGGGTTCGCAGCACTGAAATCAGGTGGTATTATGCATTAAGTAATTAATTGGCTGCTTGGTTTATTTTTTCTCTTGAAATGAAACGTATTCGGGGCCGTTCGTCCTCTGGAGGTGGGAGCCCTCCCTGTCCAGACGCATTGACCTTCCGGTGATCGACGGCTACAGAAAACACTTACTGCGACCTGGGCAGGAAGCGTTCAAAGGCTTTGTTTATTAATACAGTATGTGCGTCACTTCCGTGCTTAATACAATAAAACTCTTTCTTCAAATGTTTGTACAAAGGTTTGTCCCAAACTGTGCCTGGGTGGCCTGCGCCAGTTCACACACCGCGAAACGCAGTTACATACATTTTATCAGGTGTATTTAATTGAATACGTTCAAATAAAAACAGCCAACAGTTTTATTCTGAAGCCTTTCTACCTTTTCTATTGCAAACTGGCTTCCCGAGAGGCTGCTACCTCGCTTACAACTGCAGTGCCTGGGTGGGTGTGCCTTGGCCTATCCAGCAAACTCCCCTTCTCTGTAGAATTAAACACTCATTTGCAGAATAACCAATCTTAATGCCAGCTCAAGAGCCTGGGCCCCGGCTGCTCCGTGCTGTGAAACTCTACACTCTCTAGCAAAAAACATATACGGTACAATGCGAAGCCTGAACCTCTGAAAATTTTTAAAAAGAGCGAAAAAATGAAACCTCTGCTACCCTTACTCTAGAGGGCAATACTATGTGACCTCTGGAATCTCCGACACAAAAACGATGGGCACCACCCATCGACGCACCCTATCCAGCGGCGCGTTCGTTGTTTGCTTGTAGGCGCGTACTTTGCTTTCCTGGAGCAAGAATTCTTCCTTAACACTGTGTGCTCTATTGCTAAGAGTGTAATAGCAGCTACAGGACCTGCTAAAGCAGAATTCTAAAAGTTTCTCTGCTTGGAGTGATCCACCATACAGTGGTGTATCTGCACGCAAGTAGAGATGCACCTCCTTCGCCTGCCCCAACTACCTCTTATGCTAAACTAAATCTTCCCTCGACTAAGTCCCATATATCACGAGGAGATGAAAGCAGGCCTGATGCAGGCTCTTGTCGTGCGGGGAGAAGCTACTTTCTGCCCCCCATATATGTGGGCAATGTTGTCGGTGTCGGAAGGCGTCCACGGGAGGGCGGTGTGGCGCTTCGAGAGGCCCAGAGGTTTGCATACTTTCGCGGAGGCTGTAGGAGTCATCCAGTTCTGCATTCAAAGTAAAACGCATAAACAAAGGCTATGCAAAAAAAAGTCTCCACAGACAAGCTGGCTAACTGGGTTTCTTATGAATTACGTTTCGCCTGTGGTAGCACACGTACGTCTTTGCACTCGAGCGTAGGCAGCTTGTGCTGCCTTGGAATGGTGCACGCAGTAAACTTCAGTTCCGCATTCGTCTTGGGCATTAGACCCTGCCAGATACAACAGCAAACAACGTGTTTTGTTTTCATACACAGCTAACCTCAGTCTGCTCAACCTTCTGTACCTGCTAGACCTATGAAGAAGATGAAACACACGGAAGTAGCATCACAGAGGCCTAATACACAGCAAGCACCGAATACGAAGATGTTCATAATTGGTTGGCCATTTTAAGCGAAACATGTAGGATGCTGTAGGCACTTTTAGGGATCAGCAGGAACGGAGTACGGTCACAGATCGCCTGCTTTGTATTTATTCCTGTATTTGCTCAGCATGGTGGAAATACGTATCTCCACAATCTTGTGCTTATTCTTATAATGAAATCAACGATATGCAATACAAGCATTCATTACGTTTTTGACTGAAACGGTATTGCACATCATGCAATACCGTTTCAGTCAAATGGTAGCTCACGAGTATGTCGTGATCTATGTTGTCCTTAGCCTTCATCAAGGAGAAGGTTCTTTCTCTGGGAAGCATGTTGGAGTCGAAATTGGAGAGGTTGGTTTCTGCCGCTGCTTTTCCGGGTCTTCGTGCCGTCATGATTTCAGTGCGCCCGGTTAAAGGGTCTGTGACTTGGAACTTGGTGCAGAAAGCTTGTGGAAGCTGATCGGTGGCTATATACTGCCTCAGCGGTCGTGTGCTTCCTCTGTAGGGCAGTTGGGGAGAGTTCTTTGAACAGGAGAAGAGAAGAGTCATTTGGTCTGATTTGTTTGCAGCAGAGGACTGCTTTTTGCAGCCGTGGTTGAAGCGGGAGTTGTTGAGCTGCGCTGTCGACTTGCCCGCGTACCCTTGGGGGGTTATCATGTCTCGTGCTGTGTTCTTCCTACTGCTGGTAGTGGTGGTGCCGGAAGGATTAAAGGGGCGCAATATGTAGCTCATTTCGTCTTTGAAAGCTGAATGTTCCGCCCCCAAGGCGTTTTCACGTCGATTCCTCTGCGCCAGCTGAGGCGACGCCAACTGGGAGAGGCGTTCACTCGGCAGTCCAGCCACGACGGGTTCTCTGTCCGCCATCTTCTTAAGACAAGGTCTGAAATAAAACCCTCTTCAGTGATTCAGAAGTTCCAAATGTGAAGCGAATTTCGGAAATAAAGTGGTTCGAGCCAAAGTCGATGCCGTGCAAAACTGGCACTGCAGCGCTGCTGCGTTTAGCGTTGCTCTCTGTGGGCCGTTAAGTTCAAGGAAGATGCTGGCAGGTAGTTCGTAGGATTTCTGCAGAACGCAACACACAATGCCGCCGAAACCGTAGACACCCCACAGAGCTGCATTCAGTCTAATAAACCCAGGAACCAAAGGCAGGCTTACTACAGACAGAACGACAACCATACACGCACACACACACAAAGCAGCGCGAATGATTCACTCATGTGAACAAAAAGAGCAGACGAGGCAGCGCCTTTGCGCTCAACAACAGCAATTTCAACGTTTTGAGGAAGATGGTCTGCCTAGGACAACAGTCAAGAGGCTGCGGCTCCTCTTGCATTTCATATGCCGCTATTTGGAGCTATAATCTTTCATATAGATTTGCAGAGGAGTGCTGTGTTTAGAGGGAGTAAAACACATGATGATAGTCTCAACCGCCGCCAAACAGCGTCGGCGGTGGCTGCCGCGGCACGGCATCGACGATGCGGCGCAACAGCCGCAGCAAGTTGCATGTTGAAGGTTGAAACAACATTCTAGATCTTCACAGGAAACTTTTACGTAAACCACAAACGAATATAAACACTGAAGTGCAAATGATTCCCTTTTTTGATGCTGTGTGGCGGACTCACTTGGAGTTGAGCGGCGGTCTGCAATGGCAATCGGTAAAACTCACGAAGATGGAAGCTGAAAAATACTTCCCCTACAAAGTAGGGCAAAGACTAAGCAAACTGATTTGGGTTTTCTGAAGAAAGAATGTATCAAGTGTAAAAATGCATCAACAACAACGGCTGCCCGGGCGAGCCGTTGCAGCCATCACAGCCGTGCTACCAGCGTTGCTGCTGTTGCCCTGTGCACACCCCAATCCGCCTCCTTGCTTATTATTTCCGTTATTTCAGGCTATCTTCAATATGCCCATTATAATGCTATACAGACAGTGCATATTTACAGCGAATAAGAGAGATCAGAGAGTATAGAAACGCAGCGCCTTCCACCCTTCCCGGCACGCCCGCTCAATCGGCGCGCGGAGCAGTGGAAGGGTGTAGCTAGAACGAAAGACAGTGGCGGCGAGGAAGTAAACAAACTAGAAATGCATTTGTAGAGAGTGAAGAAAATCAGCATTTAAAAGTTTGAATTAACTACTCGGGACGTGCGGCTGCCGCAAACCGTTGTTGCTGAAACAGGCAACAGAATCGCCACCACCCACCGCCGAGTTGGAGGGGAACAACCGTCACATTGCTGGCCTAAAGCAATAGAGAGATATGCCCCTAATTTCCAAAGGTGTGAGTGCTCCAATAGATAGAAAGAAACCCACTACAAGCGTACAAGCGTACAGCGCAGCAATACATTAAAAAAAGCCAAGCACAAGTCTAAGTGCTGCAGTGAATATCAAGAAACCCAGGCGCAACTGTAAGTCTGAAGCGTTCCTTTAAACAGAAACAAGCCCAACTAGAGAAAAGAACAAAAGGGGGGGAAGAACATAGGTTTGCGCGAGCATGGCAGTACAGATTGTGCACCTGTATCGTGCATCATTGAACTCCTCGCTGGGGACTACTGTTTGATAATGAAGGTCCATGCGGAAGGAGATAACATCCTACTTATGAGAAGATAGCATCCTACTCGTATGGAGACAACATCCTCCTTGTACGGAGATAGCATCCTCCTTGCACGAAAACAACATCCTACTTGTACGGAGGTAGCAGCCTAGTTGTAAGGATAACAACGCCCGTGATTTGTTAAACTGCGCCCCACGAATGTGCATGGAGACCCACTTACCCTATTGGTCTAAATCGCTCGATTGAAGTTGTGGTATTGTCTTTTAACAGGCAATTCAATATAAATAGGTGGAATAACTAGTCGAAGAAGTCTGAGAACCGTTCGCAAGAGTCCCAGCTTCCCGCGACGTTAGCCATCTTGCGTTCAAAACTATTCATCTTTTTGTACTTGCAATGAGCCTGAAATTATCCTTATCATTTTTGTTATTGTTATTGGGGGGTTAGTGACACCCGGAATTATTGGGGGGTTGCAATTATTGAGCCGGCGAGCACTGTTCCTAATCCGTCACTCTCCACCACTTGTACGCACTAAATTAGCTCATAAAGTGAGGAAATTCGCATCTGTAGGATTAAGTGCGTCCTTGCAAACCTCTTTAGAACGGAAACCTGCCCCTCTGTCTACTACTCGGTAGGCAATATAGTGAACGTGAGGGCTGTAAAGTCCACAGTAGACCCTTTTGCTTCTTCGTCGCCACACACATCTGCACAAAAATAAATATTTTACTAACATTTGACCTCCTAGTGTAAACGTGTTAACAATAGGACCCATACAAACTCCTGAAGAAGCCCTGCAGCGTTAGCTGAACGTTGCCTTCAGGGTCGAATGCTGAGTAGGCAGCGCTGTGCCTGTGTTGGGCTGAAATTTGCAGTTTAGTGGTATTGCTTACCATCTCGCTATTGCTTGCTTTATATTTTTAATGAAGTATAAGAAAATATAAACCTTGTATTTCATTTGTAAGACATTTTCTTGGTTTTTCGAACAGCGTCATTTTCTAATTTACAATTTAATAGCAACAAAGCTCTTACATTTTATTTACTTCAACATCTCACTGGATCACCGCCTGGATGTGCAAGATGTGAAAAAAGAGCTTCATTAGGGGTTTGTCAGTTATGACACGCCCCCAAAGCTATGGTGTATCTGTGTCGCCCAAGCAGCAACATGCAGCTCTTACCCCACGGCCACTACAAAGCATCACGAAACAGCAGCAAGTATGCCTGCAGGCGTCGGTAGGCCTCCACTTGTTGTTGGGAAATGACGTTCGGCTGAGTTGGCTAGAGGCCGCGCTACGTCTCTGCCTGTCTTAGAACATTCTTCTGCTTCCACTGATACGCGCTTCGGCAAAAAGCACTTTTCAACTGTCTCCGGGGACTCCCTACGTGTGGGGTAGAGCAAGAAACGCATCACAAGTACAGCTTCTTTGCAGCGGGGTCAACGAGTCCAACCTCGCTCGCAGAAACGCAGGATTAAACTGAAAGGCTTTTTGAGTCAAAATAGTGACACGAGCACGCGGGACGCGCCAAGTTTCTCTTAGCAGATATTCTTTGATGAGAACGAACAAGCGCATGCCGTCTGTTTACAGCTGAGACGGTGTCTTTATCTCTTTGTTTTCTACTACAAGGCGCCCGTGCTGTTGTCTGCCGGCGCCTAGAGCGAGTTCAGCCACTCTTTTGCCTCCCTCTGCAGCTGACAGCAGAGGGCTCTTCCACCCTGCCATATCTGTCTTGCACCATCCTGTGCATGGTAGTGCATCACAACAGCATACATGCTTGTGCAAAGGTCCTTTTAATTCACCATCAAGAGCTCCTTGAGGCAGACTGCAGGCGGTCGAGGGTGTGCATTTTTCCTTTTCTTGTGATTGCTGTTTTTTGAACCAGTGCCCAGCTCACCTGGATAGCACGCAGTGACAATGATACCCTCCGCATTAGGATTTAATTTGCCTGCATCGGCATGGCGGGCCACTGCAGCCATCAAGCCAATGACAGCGGCCTGAGGCACAGCAGCACCAGAACGCCTGCGGGGAGCTCTTGCAGTGAGGTGAACTACGCATGCGCTTGAAGGAAATTATGTGAGGATGAGGCGCGTAATAACCACTTCGCAACATCTAGATCAAGCGGGTGGCGGTTTCGTGTTCGGATCCTCGCCTTTGAAAACAAATACGGCTGCCTTGGCCATCCTTTTTGCCTCCAATCAGTAGGAGCCAACTGAAGGTATTCGTATACCGCAGCATCAATATCCTACCACCGCCAAAGCAGCACAGAACAGCTGCAGATCACAATCAGCAGCAGTGGGCTAAAAAGTCAGGCGATAGACTGCCATTCGCGCATTCCCAACGTCTAACGCGGGGGAAAATCAGGAACAGGCACCTCGACGGTGGCGGTAGAGGCCAATAAACGGTCGCGATTACTTTTGCTCATGAACGGGGGGCCCGCGGTCTCGAGATTCGATGTAAGAAATACAACTTTTGTGTTTTTTCTGAACAAGGGGGACAGGGCCATCGTGATCTGAGGAAAAGCAAAAACAAGTTTTAAATTGTTTATCACATTACGTGAAGTATTGAATCGAATATGCACTTCCTGCGGGTTGAACTTTTAGGCCCTTATGCTAGACAGATTAACTTGGACGCATTCAAATGCACAGCAGGGGGAATTAAATAAGAACGCTGAGCCAAAGCAGCAATCTGGGTCAAGCTAAATGCAGCTAAACACATTCTTTATTCAAAAAGACGCCTACATCTCGCGTTCCGTAGTAATTTACAGCACAAGTGGCTTTGGCCTGTTCAGTAAGCGGCTGCCTGGCCCCAGGTGGGAAAGCAATGCCTAAGAGGGAGAGAAGGAATCCTGGAAGAGTACACTATTGCACATGGCATTTCGCTGGCGCGTAGACGTATCTAAAAGGTAGTTTCTGCTTACCTGCGTTGTTAACAAGACAGTCAACATGCTTGTACTTTCTTTGAAGCACGTCGACAAAGTTATTTCGGCTTTTTTCATCTGCAATGTCTAGTTGCTCCAGGTTTGCTCTTATGCCCTCTTTAGCCAGCGTTGAAACTGCTGTCTGGTATGGCAAACAGGGACAACCCATGCGAAACTGTCATAAATGCATTTTTAAGATGGCAAAACACATCGTATAATATTTATGTATTAAATAATACACATATAATGTATGTATGAATAGTTTCTTATTATATAATATATTGTACAATACACTAGCAGTACTCGCATATATGAAAAAATATCGGGTGCGAACAGACGGGAAACATGGTAAAGCTTGTATTCTTTCCTATTTTGCTCCGGAATATGCCGCTGTCTGTAAAGAATTGACTTAATGCAACTGGGGAGTACTTCTGCCGCTGAAACGCATCCCATGCCTTACCTCGCCGGCTGCTAAAGTTCGGGAACAAAGCACAATTACTGCTTCCTTCAGTTTGGGAATTTTCCCCAACTCCCTCACCGTTTCAAATCCAATGCCTTTGTTGGCCCCAGTGACTACGAAGGCGCGACTCGCCATAATGACGAAACGGCAAGCGCAGAGGGTTTGACAATACAACGGTGTCTAAACAAAGTAGCAAGCTTGCTTTTTATTTATAAAAAAATAAAAATCGTGAATATCACATGCGCCCATTTCACTGAATTGGAAAGCGCCTGCTGCCGACTCGTCCAAGAAGATTGCACGCCTGTGACTTCTCGTGGCCTTCACCCAACAGTTTCACCGATTTTGAAGATCGATAGTTTGAAAATTACTTATTTTATTTAGACTGCCCTTCAACCGGCAGAGAAAGGCGTTAAGATGAGCGATTACCATTCCAGTGGTCTGGGCACGGGTGACCATGGAGCTGCTACCCACTGAATAATCTTGAGGCAATGAATCGTTGCATTTCACGCCACAAATTCCATGAAATTAAATAAAACAATTGAAGAGAAAATTCTTTGTCAGGCAATCAGCCAGCGAACATCGAGAGCCAAAAGTCACGAATAAGGAAAACACCCTAGCAGCAGGATAGCTTGAGCCTGTCTACCTGAGTATGTTCTGTACCACTAGATAATGAGAAACCTCACTGCACTAGGTTCCAGAACAAAGTTTTGCACCTTTGCCTTCCACCTCAGGCTATCTGGTTATAGAACAAGCCAAAAAAGGGGCGTACGCCGCACCAGAAGGCAACTGCGTCTCGAGCTGCCGCCCAGAGACCTCCGCGTACGGGGGCTTCATCTACAATGGTGTACTATTTGCACACATACAATAAGACAAATCACTCTCAGAAGCTGGCTTAGTACATACCCACACGCTACCTCAAAGCAGCACAGAGCAGCCGCAGCTGCAACGCGCAAGTCTCGGCAGCAAAAGGGGCTGGAACTTGGGCAGGACTTCTGCCGCTGTGTTGGGCAAGTATATGGCCTGCACGTTCAGAATGTGCTTGGCCATAGACAGCCCGCGTGTTCCCGATCTGCAGCAATCGGCTCTCTTGGGGCCCCCGCTGTGTTTTGCTGCATGCGTTGGCAGCGCTCTTTCATTGTCTTCTGCGCCCACAGTGTCTAGACAGGTCCTATTTGGGGCCCCCCCCGAACGAGCCCTCCCAGCGTTGCCACAAGTGGCGGCTGCGGAGGGCCCCCATAGGAGAGAGGCTGTGATAACTCCTTCCTCGACAAGAGCGTGAAGGAGGAACTGCACCTCACAGTCATCTAGCAGACACAACATCCCCTGCAGCTGCTGCGCCGTGCTGCCTGGCCTTTGCGTCAGCAGCATCCACAGCCGCAGACAGAGCAGCTGCACGAGGGAAGCGTGCAAACGGCCATCTAGCCGTACCCAAGCACAAGCTGGCAGCCATTCGCTCGCCAGTCTCATTGGCTTGAAGGGGGCTCGTGGAGCTGCAGAGGAGAGAGGGCCCCTCTCTATCTGCTGCGTTCCCAAAGAGGAACCCAGGCCTGAGGGGTTTTCCTCCCAGGTCAACAGCGCACTGAAGAAGGAAATGGCGACATCAGCGTGCGCTCGAAAGGCTTTTAAACTCTCCTCCTCCGAACTCCCAGCAAAAGATGAAGCGGCAGTCAGGGGACTCGAAACGCATACAGCCCCATTTGCAGTGGCAGTCGTACCATGCAAAGCCAGATTCACCTCCCCCTCCAACGGCTTTTGCTGCTGGTGATGCTGCTGTTGCTGCTGCTGCTGGCTGCGGACCTCTGAAGGTCCCCACGCTGTCCATATGGCCCTGGGCACCATTCCAGGGCGGCGATTCGTCTGTTTCGTGTTTCCTTGTTCCAATGAGGGTTCCCCTTCTTTTTGCTTGTCGCCTGCCACATCCACTGCGACAAGCTGCGAATCTGCTGCTTCTGCCTGTGGCCGCCTCTCTTCGATAGCAGAGACAGGCAAACAACACTTGTTGTGAGAGGCCCAGCGAGCAGCCAGAGGGTCGCGGACAACCTGCTGCTCTTTCAGGCAAAAGCGAGGGGCTGCCTCAGCAGCAGCAACAAGCCGCCAACTGTCTCCTGCAGGAACCGGCACCACCAGGCGCAGGTAGCACAGCAGAGCGACACACACCAAAAACAACTGACTGCCGCATGCAGCAACCCAGCAGTCCTCGCAGCAGCTCCCCAGGTGCTCCCCAGCTATCATGGGAGTAGGCAGACGGCCCCCTCTCTTCTGTTCTGCCTGAGGATGAAGAGGGGACCAAATGGTCTCTCCTCCACTGCCTCTGAGGGCCAGCTTGCTTGCAGCAAGCTTGAAAGAGAGACACGCTACTGCTTGCAGGCCGCCAAATGGGGTGTCTCCACGGCAGCTGGCTGAAGGGTATCCAGGGCCAGAGCCTGTCTGAGCCATGTTATGCTCATCTGTTGCTGCTGCTTCTGCTGCTGCTGCAGCTGTCTCCGTCTCTCCTGCGAGGTCCAGCAACAATACAGGCACCGCCACGCCGTCCGCCTTCGCCGCAAGCACGCGACTCAACAGCCACGCAGGGCACACAGCGAGAGACACGCACACCACAACGTCTGCATGCGTTTCCTTTCCTCTTTGCAGAGCTGCTGCAGGAATGCTGCCTCCAGCAGCAGCAGCAGCAATAACAGTTGCACTCGAAGCAAGCTCTTGCTGTGTTACCTCCTCCACTCTCCGAGCGGCCTGAGGCTGGGGCGGTGTTGGCAGCAGCGGCAAGACCGCCTGCCGCTGAACTCTAAGAGCAACGCACGCCGTTTTCTGCAAAACCTGAAGTAAGGAGACAGGTAGCTCGCTGCAACACGAACTGCTGCTGCTGTTGCTGCACTCCTTAGCAGCAGGGGCCTCCGCGAAGCCTTGTAAGTAGTATGAAAGGATGCTCAGGGGCCCCTCCTCCCCCTGTCTCTCCTCCCGTGCAGCATCTGTGGCCCCCTGGTCGAGGGGCCTGTCTTTGGCGAAGGCCGCGTTGGGGGCAACGGGAGAGCAGATGGCGGCGAGCGGAGCAGCACTTGTGTAGCTGGGGTTGTCTGTTATTGCCTTGGGCTCATGTAGGCCTCCGCACGCTGCGCTACAGAGACAGCCAGGAGGGGCAAATGCCTCGACAGCCCTTGCAGCAAAGCGCCAATTCTGTCTGTAGTCGTCAGCATACGTGGGCAGAGACACCGGGAAGCCGCTGGGGAGTCCGGGTTTGAAACGCCACTGTCTGAGGGCTGCTGAGGCCTTGGGGTCTGTCTCCCCCTCCGTCTCCATCTCTGTCTCCGTCTCCGTCTCTGTCTCTCGCTGTTGCCTAGTCGCCTCTCCAAGCCCAAAGGAAGTCGCCGCACTCGCAGTGCGGTCGCTCAGAACAGGAGGCAGCAAAGAAGGGTCAAAGGCATCCAGCTCTCCTGCAGCACCAAAGAGGCCATCTGCGAGGTGGCTCGCGGGGGGCACCTCCACCTCCGCTGCCTTTCTCATTGCTGCTGCGCGACTGTCATCTCCTCCTGCATGCTCATGTACTCCCAGTGCTTGCACCCTGGGGCCCCCTCCTCCCTCAACAATGGGGGCCCACGCCGTTGCTGGTGGGCAGCAGCAATGGCGATCGAACGCACGCCGCAGCTCCCCGCATAGGCCCCCAATTTCGGGAGCGGATCCCGGCGCATCGACCTGCCTATCGGAGGCCCCTGTTGCCTCTTTGGGATTTGCGTTGTTGCAGAAAGAAGCCTCCCCTCCTTCAAGGGCCTTCGTCTTTCGCTGGCGACGCGGCAGAGGGGGGCCCAAGACAGAGCAGGTGATTGCAGTAATCTCCGGGACCCCTGCCGCATGCGCGGTGATGTGCGTCTCAATGCCACCCTCCGTCGGTCTCCTCATCGGCCTGCTGTCTCCTAACAAATCTCCTCCTTCTTCTCCCCGACCCAAAGACAACGCGCTCAGCCACTCAGGAACGTTGTTCCACAAGCCCTCCCCCTCAGCGCCCCCCTCCTGTACATACACCCCACAGCAGCTCATAACAGCAACCCCTCCCTCCCCTATATTGAGGCCCTTAATGCTTCCAACAGACAACAGACAACCCACCCTCTGGCTGTAATGCATCAAGCTGCACCCGACGGACTCTTCATAAAGAACGCACAGGGGCCCCTGAGCTGCAGCTCGCGGCCAAGGGTGTTAAGGTTTAGGGTTTGAAGTGGAAGCAGCTCTCGAGGCATAGAGGGGTTGCGGCAACTGCTCACCAGAGCGTCTTCATCCTCCAGCAACTTCAGTAGCTCAGCGTCTGCTGCTGCCTCTGTTGAGTCAGGGAGGCGGCCCTCCTTACCCCAGAAAGGAGACAGCCACAGCCGCCCTCGGGCCAAGCCTTCAAGAGCAGCGAGTGCTTCGCAGCCCGCCACCTCCGATGTCAGAGACAGTTTCGTCCTCCCTACAACTGCAACTGTCGTGTCTTCTTTCATGCTATTTCCCTGTCTCTCTCCACATTCACCGGAAGAGGAAACGCCCGGCTCAAGCAGCTCCGGGATGGCCAGACACTCCAAAGCGGACGGCTGCTGCAGCCGCGAATTCTCGAGCAGCTGCAGCAACTGTAAGTCGCCATCGTTTGTCTCCGTGCATGCATTCCCTCCTTCTGTCTCCTCCAACTGCTGCCCCTCCTCCACACCCAGCTCGGCCAGCAGCAGCTCATGCGGGGGGTCGTCTCCCCCGGAGTCCTTCCAAGGGTGTGGGACTCCATGCACATTGGAACAGCCCGCCGGGGTTGGGGGGCTCCTCTCTTGCAAGGCCCCTTCCCTGTCCAGCCCGTCTACGGCTATCGTCTCGGGGAGCCCCTCCGGGGGCCCCTCAGGGGGGCCCTCCACACTGCGGGGTGTGAGCTCAAGGGCTGAGGAGAGCAAAGCAGAAAGGGTCCGGTAGTCCCACAGGCGGCCAAAGAGGGAGAGACGCGCGGAGCTGCGCACCAGCAGAAAAAACAGAAAGGGGAGCAAGGCATTTGCATATCAGGTTTAAATGCAAATACAGACGGAGACAGGATACAAAAGAAAGACAAGAAGTCACCTGCTAAGGACAAACGGACGACGGCACTTCGCCTCCAACGCTGTAGCGATCTCTGGCCTCTTGTACAAGTGCTGTTGTCTCCCTGCTGCCTCTGTTACTGCCATTTCTTTCTTTTCCCTGGAAGGCAGCGCAGCGGCAGCACCACTACCACTACCAGCAGCAGCAGCAGCTGCTGCTGGGGGCTTGAAGACAGTGACCCAGCCTCTCCGCTGCCAAGCTCTCCAAAGGCCCGTGAGCTCCAAAGGCCGCAGCTCGCGGAGGGCAGCCAACTGCACTGCAGGTCTGTAGAACGGCAAAGGCGTGAGGACAACAGCCTAAGGGAGGAAAGCGCACCAGACAGCAGCAGCGAAGGGAGACAGGCAGATGCACACCTCCGATCATTTACAAACCATAAACCCTAAGCCCTAGAACGCCAAAGGTACACACACAGGTGAGGCCCCCTGCTGCAGGTGACGTTCGCCCACCTTTAACATATTGCGCGCCATCAGGACACGGGGACAGCTCAGCGGTCGAGACACCTGCGGGCCACCAAGCAGAGAAGACAGTGTTCGTGAAGGGGTCGGTGCCCGGTCTGCCTAGAAACAAAACTGAGGCCTCAGCAACTCCCGGACAAGGAAACCGAGGAGACAGGGGAGACAGATAGGAGACGAAGAAAAAAGAGAAGCAGAACCTACCAGAGACTTCCTTACTGCCGCTGCACCCTCTGCCCTGTACACACTATGCAGGCGCAGCTCTAAGGCAGAGGGGATGCGGCCCTCCAGCACAAAATGGCGGAGTGCTGCAGCATCGAGGCGCCTATGGGGTGAGAGAGCACAGCAGCAGGTGCAAGCAGCAACAGCAGCAGCAGCAAACATTGAAAACACCATATTAACGGAGTTCCTAGTGGGGTTTCGGGGAGAGAAGAGCCTACGGCAGAAAGGGAATAAGAGGTGAGAAGAGAAGGAGAGAAAACTAACCGGAAACTGCTGAAAATGCGGGAGTTCAGGGACCGGCGACTCAAAACAAAACCCAAAAATAAACGCGCACTCGAAGGCGTTAGAGGGGGCATGCAAAGACCCCCCAATATCTGAAAAGCCCCACAAAAGAACACACAAACCTAAAACTTGGGGAGGCATAATGTACAGCAGACACATAAAAACACCCTCTCAACCTCAGGGCAGCCTCCGCTCCAGTACAACAGCCTCTCCAGCCTTTCCATTGCTGCTCCACACTCTAATGCCGAATATAACGATGTGCTGCTGGTCTTCCCTGCATGCATGCATGCATACATGCAGGGAAGACCGCATGCAGCGCATGCAGTATTATCAGCCCCACCCTACCTGCCAGATCAGATGCTCTTCTGGAGGCAGAGACTGGGAGCTGGATGGGAACAGCCAGGCCTCAGCGAGGGGCCCCCCGCTGCGGTTCTCCTCCTTACCAAGGAGGCCCTCGGGGCCCCCTGATTTATGATGCGGGCTGTAGGCCGCGACCCAGAGCCTCTCCGCGACGACAGCTGCCCCTATAAGAGCAATCTCATCCTCTGTAAGCAACGCAGCAACACGCAACCAGCGCTCCATGAGGAAAGGAGAAAAGCAGCAAAAGGGCCCCCAGACCCGAGCAGATAGCAACTCAGAGGGAAGCCACAGCAAAATATAATAGAGTTAGGGGGGGAGCAGCGAGTCAAGCACAAAGCAGAGAAAAAGTACAAGTGAAGACGACCTACCGCGACCCATTGAAGAAAGAACCGCCTCCTCCTCTCTTGTTGCCTGAACACCAAGCCACAAAAACAGCGCATGCAACTCCATATCCAATCTGCTGGCTCTCCTCAACAGAAGAGAAGGCACTCTTGCAGCAGCAACAGCAAGGCAAAAGAACCCTCAGTGCCTCCAGCAGCAGCGGAAGAGGGGGTTCTTCTAAAGAGCCTCGGAGCAGCAGCCTGTCTGTCTGTTCCTTCGCTCTGTTAATGTCTATTCTTCTGCCGCTCCTGCGCTGCAGCAGAGTCCTGAACGCAGTGCCTGTTCGCTGGGGCCTGTGGGACTCTTGTTGCTATAATGCTGTACTAAGAAAGAGCCGCCATACAAGAGACCAACGGCTGTATGTAGATACAATAATATATACATAATACATTTATTATTACCTATAAAATATAACATATGAATGAAATATCCTTACTCGCAACAAGAAGCTGCTGGCTGGAACGTCAACGGCCTTCACAGCACCCCGGACTAACAGCCGCCCCGCAAAGCGCTCGCGGGCCCTCAAGGCCTCTTCAGACGGGGGACTTAGTAGCAGCAGCTGATCTTGCTGCTGCTGCTGCTGCCGTTGCTGCTGCGGCTCCATTGAGGACTCTGCAGCACAGCTGCCACATGAAGCGCCCCCCTCCAGCAGCAGCAGTCTCGGAAAGGCCCGCTGCACCCCTCTATTATACCCACAGCAGCAGCAGATTCTGCTTTACAGTGTATGCTGTAGCTTCATGCGTTGTATACACACTTAAGGGGTTGCAGTCCAACTAAAGCTGCATTTAATCTGTCTTCTGGCTCCAAGATAAAGAAACAAGCATATGCATGTATGGGGCGGGTGCTGCACAATCACTTGAATGCATTTCTGCTGTTACACCAAAAAAAAGGCATTGAAGACAGAGGCTGCGGATACAAGAACATTGCGAATGCGTGCCTGCAAGACACATGCCTCCCTCCTTCTTTCTTGGGGCTTTGTATGCCCCTGTCTATAGTACTGACACGCGGCTCACCCCTGTCTGCAGCCGCCGCTATAGTGCGGCGTCTCCGTCTAAATTTGCTGAGCTCCGCCTTCTGCTGCTGGTCCTCTAGCCGCCTGAGCCGCAGACAGTCCGCCGCCACACCTCCCCACAACAGACTGAGGAGACTGCGCAGCAGCCACTGCTACTGCTCTGTCTCCTTGACAAGGAGATAGAAACACAAAGACACAAGACAATGCACATCCAGAAAACAAAAACACAGGAGACACAGAGGCAGGCAGAAAGAGCACAAAACACAGAGACGGATAAAAGAACACAAGGCATGGAGTCAGACAGACAACACACAAGACAAGGAGTCAGACTAAAAAACAAAAGACAAAGAGGTAGCAGAAAAGTAGAGACAAAAGACACAGATTTAGATAGCAAAAGCGTACAAGAAACAGACGCAGGGACGCTACACGCAAGAAGACAACTCAGACGGAAATAAACATACAAGACACGAAGCCGCACGAAAGAAGACAAAAGACACTGAATCAGAGGCCCCTAGCAAATGCCCCTCGCGGCTCCCCCCAGAACGAACTGAATGAGAAATCCCTACGAGGATTACGTGCAGCCGAAGACAGACAAACAAAATGAAAACCCATGGGGCATCTCAAAGAACCCCCCTTGTAAAGACAGACAGAGACAGAGACACAGGAGAGGCCTGGAGACAGGTGGAGACCAATAGGGAGATGAGGAGACACGTGCTGCAGCCCTGTCCCCTCTGACGCACCGCTTTCGCTCCCATGGCAAGACATAAAGAAGTTCGTTGTCAGGCAGGGGCTCGTGGTGTGCCCTTTCATAGTGCAGCCTCAAAGACTTCTCCCAGGAATAGAAGTGGCCGCACCGGTGGCACTGAAAGCGCACATCTCGCGTGCGGTGTACCAACAGCCCAGGGCCTCTGTCTCTCTCCGCTGTCTCCGCTTTTGTGGGGGTTCCTGCAAGCCACGGAGGATGAGGCGAGTTGGTTGAAGACAGACCGGAGGACGACGAGCTAGCCACCGCGTCTGCTCCTGTGGTGGCTAGCTGACTAGCCAGCAGCTGCGCTGGCGGCCCCGGGGGCCCCGGGGCCCCATTGGGGCTCTCCTCTCCCCCCTGCACCCGCTCCTCTCCCTCCCAGAAGCTGCCGCCTATCAACAAAGTTTGGTTGCTGCGCGAGCCGCCCTTTATTTCAAAGACACGAATCAAATAACGCAGCACCGCCTGCACGCAGAAGCAGCAGAGACAACAGTTTCTCCACAATGGTACAACCATACACTATGCATCTCAAAACTGAGACTAAGGGCCCTTCCCGCTATCTCTACGGCAGAACGAAGAACGCATGCTTCAACAAACGCCAGAACTTATAGCAGGGGGCCTCGTGGGTCCTTTTAACCCCACAAGGGCCCCGTCCCCGTGGGGCCTCCCAAACCCTACAAGGGGCCCCATGGGGCTCTCTATGGCTGGGGAGAACCACCAGTTAAGTGGGGGCCCACTACGTACATCTGCGGGGTATCCGATCCGCGCAGAGAGTTCGACGATTTGAGGAGAAGACGCATTTAATATCAGGGCCTCCAACTCCGCCCCCCCAGCATCCCGCAGTCGCTCCAGCGTTTCCGCAGCAAACGCATCCAAAGCGGCCTGCAGCAGCAACAGTAGCAGCAATAACAGCAGGGGTGAATCCCGCTGAAGCGGCTCCATGAGAAGCCACAATCGCGGCCCTACCCTCTCCCTCGTTGCACCCCCCAGCAAGAAGAAAACACCAGCAGAAGCTCTGCTTCCGCTGCCGGGGGTTTCATGTGTGCTGGCTGACTGAGCTGCTGCCCCAGGTGTACAGGCACCCCCCTCCCTCGTACCCTTGCGGCTGCCGTGAAGGCCACCTGTCCCTTCCAATTCTTGGAGTTGAACGCCTCACGCACAGCGAAGGCGTCCGGCAGCGGCACCTGAACCCAATAGAGACACACCATCGACAAAGGGTTTAGGGTTTAGGGTTGCAGGCACCTGAATCACGTTCACGGGCGCAGGCAATCGGGGCGGTGCAGCTTTCACACGCCCGCTATCTCCCGCCCCCTGTTTCCGCTTCTTCTCCCCTTCTCCCTCCAGACTTTAGGGTGTCCATATACCCCAAGGTGCCCATACACCCGAGAGGCTCAAAAACACATGAAAAAGCCCCTGTATGTAATGGGGAGACAGGCTTAAAGGCGCACCCGCCAGCGGTTGGAGGCAGTGGCCTCTTCAGGGGTTTTGGCGTTTGTTTGTGAGCCCTCCCTATCCGACTGCTGCGCGCCTTCGCTATCTTCTGAATGAGGAGAGAAGAAATGAGAAGGCTGGGGGTCGGTGCTCATAGCCCATGTCATCTGCCGCTCCTCCTGCACCCACTGAGACACCTGCAGCTGCAGCTGCTGCCAGTATGCCTCCACTCCCTCGTGAGACAGGCCCTCAAACTCTCTGGCTGCAGGGGAGGGGGAACCCTCTTCCCCTTCCTTTGACGCCGTCTGGGCAGCACAAACAGCAGCAGCAGCAGCAGCAGCAGCACCAGCAGCAAGAGCTAACTGCATGCAAAGAAGAATCCGCCTCCCACGAGCTCCAGCTCTTCAGATGCCATCTAGATGCAAAAGATGTACTCAACGGCTGTAGCTTTGTGTACTTGGTGTACAGTCAGCAGCAGCAGCAACAGCAGCAGCGGCGGTGGTTTGTTTGCTGCTTGTCTGAGACAGAGACCCGAGGGCTTACCCTTGAGAATACTGGCAGCCTGATGACCTCGTTAAGGCGCCATGCATGGGCTGCAGGGGGCCCCTTCGAGGTGGGGCTCTCGCTGGACTGGGCCTGGATTTGGGAGACGATCCCCATGCGGCCTGTAAAAGAGGAGATCACAGGTCCACTGGTCTGGTTACGCAGTGCATGCAAACCGCGTGCGTGCTAGCGGGTGCCACAAGGAAGCTTCAGCTTCCGCTGCTGCAGCAGAAAGAGCCATGGCTGCAGCTGCTGCATCAGCAGCTACAGCAGCGCATGGCTGATGATGAAGGCTCAAGAAGAGGTGCCCGAAGCAAAGCAAGGCGAGGCAGAAACAACGTTGAGGGTGAGGGGCCCACCTAGAAGAGACAGCAGCTTCCTGACTGCAGTGCCTGCATTCTTCTTGCCCAGCCCCAAGAGCGGCAGCTGCGCCTTAGGGTGCATCTGTCTGTACGCTTGCAGCTGACGGCTGGAGAAGACAAGCAAACGAAAAAGGGGCCCCGGAAGCATCTGCATTGGGTGGCGAGACGCCGCCTCCCTCGCCAAGTGCTCATCCAGCAGTGGTAACGCATAGCCGCACCCAATCTGTTAAATGTCAAACGTTCGTACCGCACAAAACACCAGCAGGTTGCAACCCGCAGGTCCCGCGTTCGATTCCCACCACATCCTCTTTTCGTATCGAATCAAAAAATTAGAATAAAGACACCCGCGCAACGCCCGCACACACAGACGAGGTAAGTAACTTCCACAGAAACAAGCAAAAACAAATCATTGAGCTAAATGGCTTCAGCCACCGTCATATGCTCGCGTCATAACCAACAGAAAAAATCTTCAGGCTACAAGAACGACGTAAAAGGACGGGAGAGCGGGGTGCGGGGGAAGAAGAGGGGCGGGACGGGGCCCCCTGCCGGGGTAGGGGGCCTCCTGAGGGTTTCAAAGAAAGCCCAAGGGAGATAGGGGCCCTCTCAGGAGTTCAAAGAAGCATTAGGGCCCCTCCCGTTTAGTCATCCGTTGTTTGTCATTCTCACCAGGCGAAGGAATGTCTCCAGCGGCATTCGGCGCACCATAGTGGATACAGTTAAAGGGGGAGCCTCTGCATGTAGAAATGCAAGTACAGCACTGCATATATTCTTACGGATTTGCTTGCTTCTGCTGCTTGTCGCTTGAGCAGCAGCAGCGCATGCTGCAGCTGGACATGCAGCAGCAGCAGCAGCAGACACCAGAGCACCAGCAGTCCGAGCTACCTATACAGCAGAAGAGCGGGAGGCCTCACCTCTGCGGGATACTAAGGAATTTGTTGAGGGCCCCAGAAGCTGCAGCGAGAGGACAAGGAGAAACTGGTGGAAGCACTTGGCTCGTATCATAACGGGAAAGATAAAGCCGTAGAAGGCGAGGTGCTTCTGACTAAATACAAACTTGTCTTGAAACGTGGAGCGAGGAAGCGTCTGCATCAAACAGCAGCAACAACAGCAGCAGCAGCAACAGTAGCAGCAGCAGCATGAAACAAACAAACCACAAGAGCAGCCCATACACTGCCTCCATTGATTAAAAAAGGGAGACAGTGAACTTGCAGCTTCAGCGTTCACATTAAGCCTCAGCGTCTCTCTCTTCACAACAAAGACAGTACCACCCCACAGCACACTGCAACAGCTCCTTATCGTTCTTTTTTTCTGCTTTTTCTTGTCTTTCTTCTCTGTTTGTTTTATCGTCTTACTTTGTCTACCATCAGCAAAGAAGCAGCAGTTGCAGGGGGACCCGGCTGCGTGACGCGGCTGCTGGCAGTGCGGCTTTCTAGCTGCGCCAGACGGGAGATCTCCTTTTCTAGTCCCTTGAGCTGCTTCCCCACAAGGGACTGCCCTTGGGGCCCCTCAGCCCCCTCATTTGAATGCCGCTGCTCCTCCGGGACGTCTCCAGACACTGCCTGCAACGGGGGAGACGTGGGGCTGCATGCAGACGCAACGAGGCTTGGAGGCTGCTGCGAAGCCCCAAGGGAAGCCGCAGAAGAACCAGTGAGCCGAAGCTCTTCGCCCTGAGACAGCCGCACAATAAACGGCAGGAATCAGAGCTAACGAGGGGCAAGAGGAAGATGAATAGCTAGCTAGGTAGGTAGCTAGCTAGCTAGGGACAACACCAAGGCTACCTCAGCTTACCGCCTCCTTCAGCTTCCCTTCTAGAAGCAGCTGGTTGCGCCGAATGGCCTCGCGACAGCCGTGGGCACGCCTTTGGGTAATCTGAACGAAGCAGCAGACACCGGCTCACCGATGAGGCCTCAGTTCAAAGCGGCAGGAGCAGCAGGACCAGCAGCAACAGCAGAAGCAGCAGCTGCACTACAACCAGCCCCAAAGTAGCCATTCTGCTTGTTTGTCTTCCGTAAGAAAGACCCTGGCCCCCCAATGCAGGTGCGGTGGGCCGTACCAATGCAGAGACGCGCTGTTCCGCTGTCTCTTCATCGAGTGTCTCCGCCCAGTAGAAGAAAGTGATGTCTGCCGATGCCTGGGAGCCCCCTGAGGGGCCGTCTACCCTCTCTGCTGCATTCTTTGAAGCCGCTACCCGGCCACGGCGGATGCGGGGCTCCAGCTGAATTGCAATATCAGCCATGCGGTGAATTGTCTTCCTGCTCGCAATCAGCAGACACCCCAAACACAACTCATCTCCAACCAAGGTAAAAGATACACCTCCCGTGGCACCCGAAACGCACGCGAGACAAGACAAACAAAGCACCAGCGCTGGCACGGATACAACCCTAAACCCGAAACCCTCAACCCTAAACACCTAGCAAATGCCCTAGGTGTATGTGTATGTGCGTGTGTGTGCGCGCACAAAGAAGAAAGAGATGCGCAGCATACACACGAGAAACGTAAAGAAATCCTAAAAGGACCCTGCCTTTCAAGGCACGTCCGCATGTCAAAGAACTCTTGATTAGGGTTTAGGGTTTAGGGTTTGATGTTCAGATGCCGTTTATTAAGGCTTCAAGCAAACATGAAGCATTCACCTGTCCGGCCCATTGGGTGTCTTCTCTGCGTCCGCGATGGTTTTACTAATAGAAGGGATTGTGCAGCAGCCAGCGTCGTGCACTGCTTGCTGAAACAATGCAAGACGAAGAACAAACTGAGGTGTCTGCAGCAGCCGCTGCGTCTTGTGGGGCAGCTTCGCCTCAGCAGCGCGGCGGCTCATCTCTTTAAGAAGGTCTTCCAGGCTCCCCGCACCAGCAGCAGCAGGAGGAATACCATTCGTACCTCCAACAACCCCACCCAATAAACACCTTCCTACGCCGTCAGAGGCAGCAGCGGGGACAGACACTGACTCGCCATCCCCCGCCGCTCCACCTGCTGCTGCAGGGGTCCTGGAGGGCTCTGGGGACGCAGCTGCCCCACCAGCTGCTGCAACAGGAGGAGCAGCAGCATCAGCAGCAGGAGCTGCTGGTGCTGCTGCAGAAGGGGGTATTGCTGCTTCTGTATATGCAGCAGCAGCAGAACTATCACCTGCTGCTGCAGAAGGTGTTGTTTCTTTCTCCTCCTCTGTATCTCCCCCATTCATTATACCGCGGCGATAGCACCCACGTCTCTTGGGGGCCCCCGGAGGGGCCCCCTGTGCACTTTGGGGCCTTTTGCGAGTTGACTTCGCCCCAGTGCCGCTTTCAAGGCCATTCACTAAGGTACTATGAGCTGCTGCTTCACCTCTCCCGCTGTGGCGGCGTTGAGACGCCCCAGGCACAAGATCTTCAGTGCACTCCTGAGGCGTTTGCTCAGGAGAAGCAGCAGCAGCAGCAGCAGCAGCAGTAGCAGCAAGAACTGCAGCGGCTGCAGCAGGCTGCTCCCCCTCCTCTGCAGCAGCATAAGCAGTAGCAGTACCTTGAGGAGTTACCGGTGCGGCAGAGGCCGAAGCAGCACCGGATATCCCCTCGTCGTCTCCCCCACTGCGTGCTGCAGCAGCAGCAACAGCAGCAGCAGAAGCAGCAGGGTCCCCTCCTTGGACAGCAGCGCGTTCCCTGAGAGAAACAGCCAAGAGATAGAAACAAGGACAAAGGAGATAGGGAAACAGAGATGGGGGAGACAAAGGCAGAGACACAGACGTCAAGCACAGTAAACAGGGACAGCAGCGCAGCAGCAGCCCAGCAGCAGCGCAGCAGCAGGCAGCAACGCGCCCATTCTCCCAACCCCTCAAATATGAGGCGCAAGGCAGTAAACCCTAGACCCTAAACTCAAAACCCTAAACTCCATACCCAAGTCCCTAAACCCCGAACTCTAAGCCCAAACCCATAGACCCTAAATCCTAAACCCAAATTTCAAAACCCTAACCATAAGCCCAGACTCAACCCCGTAACCACCAAACTCCAAACCCTAAACCCTAAACCCTAGACCTTGAGTATCTGTGCAAGGGCCATGCATTAACTTGCTCACGTCTCCGCTCTACTCGGTAGAAGATCTTCTGTTGGTGCCTCTGCAAGCAACGCCTGCAGGCGAGGAAGCCCTTTGCTGATATACCGGTAAAGGAAGCATTTGCCTCTTCTCTCTGCTACTCGTGACACCAAATTCCGTCTTGAAAACTCCTAAGACGAAGCAACGCAACATAACAACAACCCCACCACCTCTCTTCCTTACCACCCAACAAACCCTCAAACACGCAAACATTGCAGTGGAAGCAACAAACCGTAACAAAACAAAAATGCACACAATCCCTACATTCAACCACCGCATGCATGTGCAGCAAGACACAGAGGGACAAAGGGGGGCCCCTGGGGGCCCCCACGGGCCCCTATGACCTCCAAGACGCACCGCCAGGGCCTTGCCACTCCGCTTAATATCGAGACCCAACAAACGAGAGAGGCCCACAGTAGTGAGGCCCTCTGAACCCGCCGCTACCAATAGCAAAGACGCCAATGAAGCGAGAGAAACTCCCTCTAAATCCACACTGTACACACAACGCACAACCCATACGCACCCCAGATGCAACGAAAGAAGCAGCGGCAGCAGCAGCAACTGCAGCAGCTGCAGCGGCTGCTGCAGTCGCCTCACGCCAGCTCAGGGGAGGGCAGTGGAGGCCGCAGGAGAGTAGCCAAGGGGCCCCTCCCTGCAGTATCCAAGCCCGGCGTTGGGGCGTGGGGCCCCCCGCCTTTAAACGCCTTTGCATGCACATGCAACTACAAGCATTACGGGGCTGTCGCTACTGAACGTACGGAGCAGAAGGGTGGTCTTCTCCATCGGCATCTTCTGCTACAACCGCCGCGGGGCCAGAAGCTTCTCTGCGGAGATCAGCAGCCCGTGCTGCTCTCTCTACTGTCCCTTCTTCTACTTTCACTTGCGCACTGAGGTGTATGCAGACAGAGACAAAGACTCCACCAGCTGGACCAATTCAGAGATGAGGAGTTTGGGGGTATATGCGCAGGGTATAGGGTGTATGTAAAGGGTTTAAAACGCATGCACAGGGTTTAGGGTGTATGCGCAGGGTTTGGGGTGTAGGTGCAGGGTTTAGGGTGTATGTGCAGGGCTGAGCTCTCTTAGAGGCTGTCGAACAAAACAACAAAGAGTGCATGCAGCAACGACACAACCCTCAAGGATGTCTGCGTTAGCAATTGGGGTGTAAATACGCACATCAGACTGCTCCCTCCCGTCTGTCCCCGGTACTCCTGCAGCTGGACTGCGGGAGCAGCAGAAGGTGCTGCTGCAGCAGCTGCAGCAGACGACGGCGGTGCTGCTGCTGCTGACAGCAGCAGACAGGGCTCAAAGCGAGCTGTCTGTCTACAAAAGGCTCTCACGCGCTGCACCTGCCCTCCCCTTTCCAGCGACTCCCTCAGTCGATAGAACAAACGCCTCAGCTGTTTATCACTGAAGCGCAGATACGGGGCCTGAGCAGCATCAGCAGCAGCAGCAACGCAATGCAACAAACAACGCATACTGCAGCAACACTCAAAGGCACCCAAGCAACCGCATCAAGGCTCACTGCCTAGAAGCCATCCCTCCAAGGGCTCCGGTGTATGTGCAGGGTTTGGGGTGTACGCGCCGGGTTTAGAATGCACACGGATGTCTTAGGGTGTACATGCATGATTTAGGCTGTATACGCAGGGTGTGGAGTGTAAATGCAGGGTTTGGGGTGTATTTGCAGTGGCTTTCTTGCCTCTTCAGATGTGAGGAGTTTGGAGATACAGAACTGCCGGACTTCTTCTTCTAACAAGATATTATTGGGTGCGTTGTGCAGCAGACGCAGCGCCTGCTGCTGCAGAGGCAACAAATGCTGCAGGGCTACCAGCCCCCGCAGCTGCGCGGGCAGCCTCAAAGGGGAGAAGAAGGCGCTGCTCCATAGCAGCGCCGAGACAGTGAGATTTGTCCTGACAGATCCCCGGGAGATGGTGGTCCCTGTGGGCCCCCCTGAGTGCCCCCCTAGGGGGTCCCCCTGATCTGCGGAGGCCCCCGAGGCCTCTGCGCCCTGCGCCAGGTCAGGGGCCCCCTTGGAGCGAGCGTGTGGGGCCCCCCGCCCTAACTTGTGGGTGGGGGGTATGGCTAGCTGCATGTGGCAGATGAGTTCATCGCGATAGAGAGGCTTTAAGTGATGGAAGACGCTCTTGGGGTCGAGGTGAAGCTCCTGAGCCAGGCAGTATTGCCATTGGCCTAAGTAACAGACAGTAGTGATACAAAGAAAACCTATTAATCTTAGGTAGAAGAAGATAATTTAGTTAATAATGTGAATGAGATAGCAGTAATAAAAAGCAAACATAATCATAATAGGAAGAATATATATTAATTAAGGTAACAATGTGAATAAGATAGTAGTAATAGCTAGCTATGGAGCTAGTTAGGTAGCTAGCTACGTAGCTAGCTGCGTAGCTAGCTAAGAAAGTAGTAATAGCTAGCTAAGAAAGTAGTAATAGCCAGCTAGCTACTAGCTAGCTGGCTAGCTGGTCAAAGGGCTCACCGTTTTCCTTGTGGGCTGCGATGTTGCGAAGAATTTGAAAAGGGACTTCAGTAGCTCTGCGTTTTATATCATTTTTATCTGCAGCAGCATCCACCTCTGTCAGCAGCAACACAGGGAGACCTGGAGAAGTCGTCAGTAGCCACTGTCGCTGCTGCTCTATGCATGCATCTGCTGCTGCTGCTGCTGCTGTTGCTGTTGTTCCTGCACCAGCAGCAGCACACGTTCCCCGTCCAACCCTGTCTCCTGCTGCAGCAGCCGCCACCGGAAGGTCTGGAGGGACTGCAGGGTCTCGCCAAGCTAGGAGCTGTCGTTTGCTGCATTTTGCTGCTGCTTCTGCTGCTGGTGGGCTGGCGGCTGCCTCTAAGCTAGCAGCAGCAGGAACAGGGTGTCTCTGCTGCTGGTTGCTGCTGCTGCACGAGGAGACGGACGTGAAGTAAACGTCAGGGCAGCGGTAAAGAGACCTCCAGAGGACAGCCTGCAAGCAGCAGAAATAAATTCAAACAGAGGCAAATCATAAATGCATTCAAACAAACAACCGCTTAAGCAACCCGAAAAATAATTATTAAAAACGATAGAGACAGTGCAATTCATCGTCAGCAGCCTACGCCCCTCCCTCGCTACCCTCGCCTTCAGGGACCCCACATGTCCCTTGGGGCCCCCCCTGTGCTGTCGCCGAAGAAAGAGTTTAGCAGAAGAAGAAGAGAAGGAAGAAGAGGAGGAAATAAGGATGAATAGTGCTGGTATCACTCACCCTTAAGAAGACGTCTAATTCGTATTCATTTTCTTGCTGTAGAATTGTGCAGAGGCGATCGAATGAAATACCAGGGAATGGATGCAGCGCCAACTCCTCTAGTGCGAGGGCCCTGAGCGATGCCTCCATCTTAAAGGAGAAGGCAGAAGGACGGGCCCCAGATGTAAATACAGCTGACGATAATTGCTGCTGCTAGCCTGCGGCTACAGCTGCAACAGCTGCTTCATTGTCCCGGGGCATATGTGCAGAGATATATGTGCATATAGATATATACATAGATATATATTTATATTTATATATCCCTATCCGTCAGTTGCTGAGGAAGCGCTGCGTGAATGTTGTTGATGGGGGCCCCTATGAGGGGCCCAATGTGCTGGCTGCGCTGTGCTGCAGCTGTTGAGGGGGTTTAAATGCCTTTCTCTGTGGAAAAGAAGCTTAATAAATAACTCTTTTAAGTCAAAATGAAGCCGCTCTGCCTCTATGTTTGCAACGCAATGAGCGGCGAAGGTGTCGATGAGAGACTGGCTGCAGAGGGAAGCTGTACGTAGGGCTCCACGGAGATAAAAAAGGGGTTCTTCTGTTCTTTTCAGCTGCTGTTAAACTTAAAATAAAACAAATAAATTAAAAGTTTTACCTTCCCTTGCAGGCGCAATGAAGAAACAGCAAACAGCCCCCCGGCTGCAGCAGCCCCAGACAACAGCAGCGCGAACGGACGCGCGTTCGACTCTCAGCAGCAGCAAAAAGAGTTTTAAAACTCAAATCATCCATTCCAACTAATAAATGTTTAGAGCTTATTGTTTTTCATAAATAAAACGTTTTGATTGCAATTAATAAATGCCATTCAGCCTTCTTGCCTTCAAGAAGAGGTTGCGTACGCTAGTACTGTGTCTCTGCTTCATCCAACTAGCAGCAGCAGTAGTAGCAGCAGCAGTAGCAGCAGCAGCAGCAAGAGCAAAGCTCAAAGCTGCTAACCAATCGGCACCGATGTGTTAGCAACCAGCAGACATTTAAACAGCAACAAGAAGAAGACACACGGAGGCAGAAAATTAATTTGTGCATGCGCTTATGAGGAGAGCAACAGCTTGAAGGGAGCAAACAAACAAACAAAATATTGAAACCAACATAATGATTTGTTGCAACACACAACATAACGAAATATTACAACCACAACATTTGGCAGGAAATAACAACACTCTGCAGCAGCATACCCGACTGGAATCAGTAAATATATATATATATATATATAATATACACACACGCATATATATATATATATATATAT